TATATGGTGGCCCACCATCTACCTTGGCGCCATGAAGCAGTAAACTAGGGGCAGGGCAGGGGCAGGGCAGGGGCTTGCTGATGGGCAGGGCAAGGCAGAGGGCAGGCAGGGCAGGGCGAAAGAAGTCGTGAGTGTTTGCAGGCGTGATGTCAAAGAAGGCGCTCCTATTGAAGACCCTCAAGCATAAGTATACTTTTAAGTCATTAGAGTCGCTCGCAACGACACGGAGGTACATGTTCAGGAGTGCCGGTCATTGGAACTAGGGCCATAAATGGCTCTTTTATTGTGGCGGTTGGCACCACGCATGAAGTTCTAAACCCAGCAGTCGAGCAGACATGGTCTCTCGCCAGCATTCGTTTATTGCTCATTTAATGCTCTAATAATGCTCACATACTCCTAATACATTTTTGGTGGCATCTTAGCGATCATTTATCGCTCATTTCTTGAGGAGAGCCGGGGTTGGTCCCCGGGGTAAGTGTGAGCTTGCAATGACTCAAGGTTGCATGCAGGCTACGTCAAGTCTTTTCCAAGTCCGGAGTGGTGGAAGGCAGGATTTGCCAGCATCAGACAAAGCAACAACCCCGTCCCTGGGTTTGTGAGGAGCTGCTAACGGCCTTGCAGTCCTTGGCTGGACCCGCTCTCAAGGTGCAGTCAGCTGTTTCGAGGTTTTGGCTTCAGTAATTCGGTGTCATGCTGAATATGACCTGTTGCTGAATTCCAGACTGCCCCGACCTCCCCTCTCTCTTCTCCGTCCGGTATACGTTTGGGGGCTACAAGCTCACGGTTCTCAAATTTACCAGCATCATCCGTAAACATGACCATGAAGGCCTGGGGTCAAGGTTTCGACCCTGGCCTTAAATCCTTGTTACTGCACATAGAGCAGATGAAAAACCTTCAGCAAACTAGAGCGGAGTGCCCGGCGACAACTGCTAACGGCTAACGGCCAGCAGGACCTTGGTGACGGTCCAGTGGGTGGTGATGCAGCTGCGCCATCGCTCGGGCAGTGCTACACGCGCCAAGGCCCTCTGTACTTTGGTTTGCATGTGGCCTGTTGATGCCCTGAGTTGAAAGACTGAAACACCGCAAAAGATTTGAGTAGTCTCCTCAGCTTTCCAGGGGAAGGCATGCATGACGAACTGATCGTTTGGGTAATGCCAGTTTATTGTTTCCCAGGATTATTTTTGCCTGCAATATGTGCCTTCACAGCTGGGGGGCAAGTGTCGAATGAGAGCATACATTGCTCTTCGTCCTTCAGTCCAATCTTTACGTAGGCTTCAGCCAATAAGGGAGCCAATAATGGGAATTATGCTCGCTCTTGACACCCCTGCCTTCCTGTGGGCTTGGAGCCCGGGGGGTAATGACTTTCTGATCCAAACCCTTCGCTGGGAGTGCTGGGACTTTGGGCTTTGCAGTTGCTGTCAGGGTGTGAGCTTGGCAGGCTTTACTGAAGCCGCATGGACTCATGAACTCAGGTCAGAGTTTTCGTTGTTTACGACGTAGTCACGTGTACCCCGCCAGGACCGCAGCCTCGCCTTCCACGATCGCACCACGCGTTGCTGGGTGAAGGGAACCGCGGAAAGGAGCTTGGGGAGTTGGGCCAGGGATTGGGAACGCCTGCTTTCAAGATCGATGTGGACAGACCCCGAGTGTAGACACCTCTCATGACGGCCCTGGTAAGCAAGACCGCAGTGATTTCCTTTAGCGAGTGTGACAATGCACCACCGCCACCTCCAGAATGCAAGCATAGGATCATGGCATCGTGGGGTCAGCGAAACTGAAACTCGAAGTGAGCCCTGCCTTGACGATGCGTGAGGAGCGAGATCCCAAGAGAGACTTCTTGGAGGCTGGGGGAGCAACGCGTACATGACGACTATCAGTAGACGTCAACTGCACCAATGTTGGATACAGGATCGCTAAGTCTGGGTGTAGCAGCACTGCGGAGTGAAATGACATGGAACTGTAACCCCAAACAGCGCTGTAACAAGCTATGATAGACGATTTTTGCAAGACCCTGCGTGAATGTCCACACGAGGCACACGGCAAAGCAACATAAACATGAAGAGTAGCAGAGCATCCACAAGATACACAAGTTCCAATCTTGCCATGCCATCGCAACGGAATTGTTCCACACAGCAAGCGTACACTAGAATAGCATTAGACTGTGGAGTCTTGAACACAGAAAACGACTTGTGTCGTGTTGTGAGGCGGTGCTCTTCGCGATTGAAGCCCTGATCGTCGGTTGCCAAAAGCAAGGTACAGCTCTTCCGCTAAATGGGGTTGCTTGGGGACTTGCTGGCTGCATGTTTTGTCAGGTACATCGCAGTATATCTGCTGGAGGGTTCCGGTAGTATCTGCCGTTTCCGACGCTTGTTTCGCATCAGCTTGCTTTGAGCCACGAGAAAGCCACGCTCTTAACTCATTTTCCAGGTGGCGCACCGCCAGCCGTTCAGTGCAGTGCGGCATTTGCCATCACCATGCTTCCGAGCCCTGGCGATGGGGAGCGAAGCATCTTGTGGAAAGGCGGAGTCCAGGATTTTGAGGTTGCTAGGTTTTTGGGACGTGAATTCGAGTTTCGGGAACAGCGAACTGAGGACGCTTGGCACGGCCCCTCCAGTGCTGAGATCCGGTCTGCGCCTAGTAGGCAGGTTGGCCGAGGAGCGTGTTGGAGTGATATAGCACGTTAGCGAGCACTTGTACAGGTATTCGGGCTGGCAGTAAAGCAGGGAAGGACATAAAGCGTCTGCAAAACCCTGATGCTGCTACTTGTATCAGGCCGAGTAGCGTCACAGAGTAGACGAAGAAAGTAACACGTAAGCGCGACATACGGTCCAAACGACATCTTGCACAGTTTCCAGGAGGCGATTGGTGTTCTCCGCGGGCTTCTGCTTGAGCGGCCGGCGGTCCAAGACCATGTGCAGAAGTTCCCCGGCTTCGAGCGAGTTGGTCGGCGTAGGGCATCACGGCTTCAGGGCTCCACGTCCTGAGTTTTTTACGTTACTGCTGGCAATGGTATTGCACATGTGGAGTGGACCGCGTCCATGGCAGGAGGGCTTGTCTGTCTGCAGGGAGGTTCGTACGGTCGGTTGCTGCTGGAGTTCCACAGTTGGCGCAGCCTGTGGCCAATCCTTGTGTGCAGCTCAATTGCTCCCGCCGGTAAGCAGTGCAGTGTTGCACATGTCGTGCATTCTCAACTGTAATGTAATGCAAGCATGGCATGTCGAAGGGCACGCATCTGAGCAGAACATTTTCCCGGAGCTTCCGAATGGAGTGCTGCTGAAGGTTTCCGGCCCCATGTCCGTCCTGCCACGATTGGCGCATTCGGGCATTTGCGGTAAACTGCTGATACAGTTGGGCGACTGCAGAAAGCACAAGCCTCAACCACTCGTGCCGTTCCCACGATGATCAGCATGGTGTACAAGCGTCATTGCATGTTTGGTGAGCTTCTCGTCTTTCGCCAGCAACTCAGGCTGCTGCTCCTTGGCGGCAGCTCGCCAAACACGTCTGTGCGAAGCGAGGCCTCTCTGATTAGAAGTAAGCTGCCGATACCGGGCCATCCTACAAGCGCTAAAGAAGCAGGCCTGTAGTCTCCATCGTTGCGATGGTGATTGCAGTCTGCGATCTGCGAAGGACTACTCGTATAAAGTTTGGTTCCACCCTGCTTGATTGCTCTCTCGCTGGCCAGAAGCCCGTGGTCTCACAAGGCCACAGTTTTCAAGCTGAAGCTTTTTGGTTCCCAGCTTCCATATTGCTGCTTGCTGTTGTGAGAGACAGAGACGGAACCATCCACAGAACCCTTAATCGACTCTTTTCCAAAGGATGACCTAAAGAGAACCATCAAACCCTGTCGGAACCGTAAAGTGTCGGGAGGCTTCCAAGATCCAGAAGCTGCTAAGCGGCTAAGCTAGCCTCGGCCTGGTGCCTACTCATTTGATGCCTCTCTGCTCTTCAGAGCATCTGCGATGTTCTCAAACAAGGTGTCTGGTTTCTTAGAGACTGAAAGCATTCTTCAACATGAAGCTTGCTGTCGAGATGAACAAGATGTGGCAGATTGCGCACTGTGACTTGGATATCCATGATGCAGCAGCACAGGCGTTACGAACTGGAGGCACAGGTGTGTGCCTTTCTGTTTTGACGCTCTTGACATCCAAGGAGTATTCCAGGAACAGCGGCTTCAAGCGAAAACTCTGCAATCCGTTTTTTCAAGCTTCGAGAAGTTGCTGCCACGACACAAGAGCACGGAAGCTCAGACATCGCCTTGAAGTTCAGGCCCGGAGATGTTGCCAAGTCTATGGGTTGCGGTTGTGATGCAGTCGGCTCCCGGCGTGTTTCGCTCTTAACAAGCTCTCTTAGCGTCGGGCTTGTTGGGTCTTGGTTGATATGTCAGCTCACGACACCGTCGCAATGGAGACGTGTTTGACTTAGGGAGGTGGCAGTTCGCCGACTCTACCAGGCTTTCTGCAAGCAATGCTTGGCAGTACTGTAGCAGTCGACGTTGGATAGAATGGGACGTGTGGGCAAGTTTTAGGTTTAGGCAAAGCACAGGTTGGGGGCGTCACCCTGCAGCGCAGTCAGCATTCGACTTGTGCAGGCGGCTTCCCGTTTCATGGTGACCGTGAGCAAATATGCCCAGGTCTGCTTCCTTGAGTGCGCTCGTGCCGTCACACCGTTTGTGGATGCTGGAAGAATCACAGTGCTGAAGCTGTCGTCACCGAAGTCCTGAAGACGTGACTGTGAGTCTTATCGGCAGGTACCACTGGAACACGCCTGGTGTCTGAGCGGCTGCTGCTGCCAAAGGCGGCCATGGAAAAACACATGAGCCCTCCTGTGCTTGTAGCACGGCAAGCAGCATGTCTGCATCGTGAAGATTAACATCGTAAGGGGCTTGACTATGGCCTGATGTTTCGAACGCCTCGCCGTTGCGAGGCCGTTGCTCGCCAGCTCGCACGCGACATCAAACAAAAACACATGAGGGACACTTCGTCAGAGCGTATCTCGCTGAGGATGGAACCTTGCCCCAACTCTTCGCCTTCTTTATCGAGCGATGCCGGGCCATGGCTACTCGGAGTGCATTAGGCGCTGCGGAGGCGGTCTCAGGTTTGACAACGTGTTGTTGGGGTGGCCTAGCGCCTTCCTTCCACCCGACTACACTTGCACGACCATTCGTTTTCTGTAGCGGTAGCAGCGGTAGTGGTGGAAGCGCCCCAGAAGGAAGAGAGAATTTCTTGGGGGCATCCTGGGCCTGGGCGAATCCGTACAGGTTGGCTGTGTGGTCTGCTTCTCACCAATTGGTGACAACTGGCGGACACGATTGCGACAGCCACTTGGGTGCAAGATTCAGGTGAGCAAAGGCGCTGGGTCTCAAGCTGGCACGCAATCTCAGAGCAGACCCGACACCCCACATGAGCCCCAGGAGGCCGAGCGGAGCACCAGAGCAGCTCTGGCAATGGTCAGCAAAGCCCGAAGCGACCCGTTCAGGTTCCCCTCCCTGGTGAACTGCTGCACCATCGACTGGTACACGGCTCGGGGCTCGGTCTTGAATGTAAGCTTTGAGGACCTTTGAGGAGCTGCGGAGCTCTGGGCTCCTCCCGTCAGCTCTCTCCAAGAATCTTGCAGCCCGACGAAGGCTCCGAAGCTCCACTCGAAAGCTCCACAGCACATCCCCAGTCTTTCCGCATCTTCGCGTTATCTTCAATCCACCAGAACACTGTCAACAACAGGCATGGCCCTCCGATGCCCTCATGGCTGTTGCAACGCGCTTCCTGCAGCCGCGTGGCACCATTCAGAAAGGGTACACAAAACACTAGTCAGCAGTCTGCTCAGCGTGTGTCTACATGTGCATTATATGATATGTTTCTGCGTGAGTGTGGAGCATGGGGAGTCCAAAAGTTGTTTAACGGGATTCCCTGCGAGGGCCATCCCGGACCTGGACGAGCAGGCCGGGGGGACTTGAGAATGAGGTGAGGAAGTCGTTCTGAGACATTCGGAGTTGCAATTCTTGAACTCTTGCCATTTCGGAATGCGGACCTGCCGAGTCCTGTTAGATGCAACGCTTCCATCTCAGCCATCCAGCCCCCGCATGGGGTAATCGATCCACCAGGTGCGCTCAAACTGTGTGGAGATGTGCCAGCCGCAGACCTGGAGTTGTCATCACGCATCAGCAACCTGTTGTTTGCCGGCGTCGTTCTTTGCCGTGGCTGCGGCCAAGCCTGTAGATGTACATGCTGTGACAGCCCTTGGTCGAGTCGCTCAGGTTTTTCCATGCAGAGACGACGAAGTTGGCTCGCCGTTTCGAGGATGAGCTAAAGCGCCGGAAGCCGAGTTGAGCTCCGTCTTGAGCGCGCATCGTTCCAATGCTATAAAGAAAGAGCCTGGACATACCTGAAGCCAATCGGTGAAGATGCAAGCCAGAGGCATCTACTACTCCACACCAACCTCCTTCCTCGAGCTTATCCAGACCTTCAAGGCCACTTGTGGGCCGATGCTGCGCAACAGTGCCATGCCACCACGACACATGAGCTTGCCAAAGAAGTTTGCATAGCTTCGCAGTTCATGTTGACCTTTCAACCGCTTTCAACCAATCCAGAATCCTTGCACCCCTCGTGCCCAAGTGCTCAACTCAACTGAGAGGCCCTCCTGGCTGAGAAACGGTCATCCATAAGCAGTCTGAAGTCCAAGTACGAGGTGCCAAGTGTCCGTTCTCTCATTCTCAGGGCAACTAAGTTCTGAAAGACAGGCATTCCTGCTGGGGATTTGTGTGCACTGGCAGATCGTTCAGAGATCGGGATGGAGCGCATGTGGAACCTCTCAAAACATTGTGGCAGCAGGAAGGTTTGAAAGGCTCTGGCCGCTGGCAAGTTTGCTGAAAGACCGAGTTTTTCGATGTAGCTTTCGGCTTCGGCCTGAGGGCAGTCACGGCTAAAGGCTCTGGCATGTGGTGCTCCAGGTGGGTCTCGAAAAGCTCACAACGACCGAACAGTCCGTGGAGGGCATGAAGCAGGACTGCCCAAACCCTTCACTGCCCATAGGTAACGCATAGAAACTTACATATCTGCTCCAGGTCTTGATAAAGATCTGCAGGCTTTGCACTGGCTGCCTTACGGCCATAGGATCCTGATCGTCAAGTTGGACTGCTCATACAAAAGGGCAATCGACATCTTCGGGCAGCTTCACGCGGAATGTAGCGAGGCGCAAACGTCAGGCCACGAGACTGGAGACTCTCGGCCTCCCCAAGCTGTTTGGTACACTGATGCGATTGGCGACAAGGAGCTCATTGCCCTGCAGCCAAAGCTAGTGGAGAAGAACAAGGAGGCCGTGATGGTGCACTTGTGCCACTCACTGATAAAAGACCCTAGAGTTGAGCATGTGTCAACCAGGGCGGCAGTATCCTCCTGGTAGTCACTTTTCCATCAACTGGCCATCCTGAATGCAGGTTGGCGAGATGATGATTGTCGTCAACGAGGATGCCCTCCCGTCCTTGATACGTAGATTGTTTTGATCGTGCACTCGACATGTTCGCACATTCGACGGTCTTCGAATTCCAGTTGGCTCAACACAGGTCCACAGATGTTCGCGTTATCGGTCTTCCCCGATCTGTATTCACCCCTCCTGCTTCCGCCTCTGGGCATTAAGATGTTCTGCGGACCAGTCTGGCAGGAGTCAGCGAAAACGGAGAAGGTGAAGGAGGCAAGCGGCAAGATCGGGCAGATGACATGAATCTGAATCTCACTTTGAGGTGAACTTGGATCCCACAACTGACAAAACGTGCAGTTTACACTGCTTGCAGATGTAAACCCTAGCTCCCAATTCTTTGGCTCTTTGCGCTGTCCGAAGCCCTGACGGTGACGGAGCATGCCATATCCGAATCCTAGCCCCTTGCTTGAACAGGGGTGAATCCAGGTGTTCTGGTTTTAGAGGTCTGGTGCTTGCAGACTAGAGTCGGTCACTGAGGACTAGCTCGGAAGAGGCCAAATGCTCTCCAAGCCCTCCCTTCGCAGCTCCGCTGCTTCTCTACAGGTGGTCGCAGGTGATGAGGCCGTTGCTAGCGAAGCAGCCGGGCAGGCAAATGCCATCAAGAAGGACTGAGTTGGTCGTGTTTGAAGAAGTTCAAAGAGGAAATGTTTGCTTGTGGCACTTGAGTTCCAGCATGTACCCTGCAGCTTTTCATCTCCCCTATGCTTGAGCATCACAGTCAAAGACTTACGGCTAGATTTCGAGTGTTTTCTGAATATCCCTAAACTCTTCTTAAGCCTGGAGAAACTCAAGAAGCTTGGCTTCAGGAGTGTGAGGAGGCACTTGCTGAAGCTATGCCGTGCACTAATCGGCTGAACGCAGCAGTTGTTCAGGGCCAGGACACGACCTAGTGCAGAGATAAAAAAGGATGGCACTGATAGATACATTTCACCGGTAAATGTCGCCAATAGAAGAGACTTGGGTAGATGCATGCGTGCATGCGCACATGCATTATCTCATTCGTTGTTGATCTTCTGCCGAATGGCTTCGGCTGCTCGTTTCCCGTGGTGCCACTGCATGAGGACCGTGATACAATCAATGTTTGAACAGTCAGTGAGCTTCCGACATTCCGCTGAGGCCTGCCCTGAATGAAGCTCTCAAGGCCTTGGACACATTGCTTCTCGGATGTTCAGGCTTCAGAGCAGTTGAAACTTGGGCTCAGGAGTCGGGATGTAGGAGTCATGGGTGGAGCTGCGAGGGCCTCTCCATGCTCCATCTATAGGATGCCAAATGTTTCTTTCGAGGACCGGGATAAAGTCTTGCTTTTCAAGCGTTCTGTTCGCCCTTATAGAAGCACTGAGGTCTGGAAAGGAGATCGCCGAAGTGAAGGCGGGAACTTGGGATTTTACAGGTGCCATTATGGAGCGCACACTTTGAAGGGTCTTGAAATGCGGGGGTGTTTAAGCTTCAAGGCTGCTCACGTTTGTTTGGAGCTTTGGGGTGTTGGTCGTGCAGGTCGACAACATCAAGCTTAATTCGCTTTCACTGCGCAAATTCTCCATCCGGGACCACACCCGAAAGCCCGAACCTCTCAACTCTAAAAGTCCTAAGGCCTCAAGACTCCCGCAAATCGAAAGCCCTGTGCTTGAGGCCATGAAGAACCCTGCTGCACCGGTTCGGCTGGTCCTTTCTGCCGTCTGCGTGCTTCGCAATGCTGGGGAACCCAGACGGAGTCTCGAGGACTTTGGTTACCACTCCAGGGTTGCAGCAGCCTGAGGTCCGGAATTGTCGAGTTTGGCGTTGTTGATGATGGTGGTTATATAATGACGAAGAAGAAGATGAAGATTAAGACCAAGAGCAATAGTATGATGATACTTTCCTCAGCACCTGGCTTCCAGAGCCCGCCTAGGTGAAGCCTGTGCGGGTAAAAGACGATGCTGGAAAGATGGCCGGAGCCCATGCGAGGGGATCTGTGGTGTTGCTTAAATCCGCTGTGAAGCCTCGAATGGGCTCTTCAGGAGGGCGCTTCGGAGATGTTGGGAACTTCCGGGCAGTGCAGCACAGTCTCGGTCTTGTCTACTCGACACCATGATGTACCGGGCGAGAATACAGTACGGGTGAAACCGGCCTGGTTCCCTCCTCTGCTGTTGCCCCTAGTGACTGTTCATCTCTTTCTCGCTATCTTAGTTATCTTTGCTTTCTTTTCCGACTGCGGACTTGATAGTAGTCACAAGACCACGCTAGTCGACACTTGCCGACCTTTCTGTCCGTCCCTACGCTGCCTGCCTGAAAGAAGTCTCACTGAATCTCATTCCACTAGAGTCTTAGAGTTCTATCACCCCAGGCCCCCGCCTCCCTCAGGCTCTCCACAGACCCCGAACAGGTGGATGATTTCTGGCCGGCTGCAGTCAAGATGATCTCAGACATGGGCTTCCTCCAGTCGCTGCCTCCTCCTCGGCACACAGGGAACCTTGTGGCTCGGGTCTTTAGTCGGGGATGCGGCGCCACTGGTGGATTCTTCAGCCGTCCATGGAACCTTGAGAGCCCCAAGTCAACGCCCTATAGAAGTGTGTGCATCGTCACTGTACTTATCCTACTCGTACCCTAGATGAACAGAGCTACATTTGCGACTTAGGCAGACTTTTGACAAGGACAACATCCCACCGGTCGCCCTGGCATGTTTTTTCGAGGGAAAGTGCCGTGAGGAAACGCCAAAAGCCGCAGTGTGAAGCCTTCCATGAGACACTTTCGCAGTCTTGCACCCACACCTGTCACGTCTGTAAGGAATCTGTACTGAAGCCTGGAGGAGCTCGTTCTCTGCCAGGCTACGATCAAGAAAATTTCAGAATACACCGTCAAGGAGGACTTCCAGCCTGATCGCGCTGGGCCCCTGGTGTTTGTAATGCATCCTTGGCTTCTCCTCCACAGCTCTTCTGCCCTCCGTCCAATGCTTTGCCCGGCAATCAGCCATGCGCATGCACGCGAGGTTCAGAAGGTTTCCACTGCAGCGTGGGGCCTGCCCTGCATGTCTTTCTGTCGAGCCATTGTGAAGACACCTGGTATGGAAACCCAGCCCCTGTCAAGCTCTGCCTGCGTCGGAGTTTCGGAGACGTTGGATGTCAGTGCAGCTCCATCATGGGCAGCTTGCTTTGTCAATGTAGGGTAAGTCGGCGAAGATAGCCACCTTCAACCCGTGCTGCAGCAAGCATTCTCTACTCTGCTGTTGTTGAGAAGGTCCTGCAGCATCCCATGATGTGCAGACAGATCTGCTAGGTCTTTGCATGTGGTGTCGGGCCATGGAGACCTACGATCGTGTGGCAAAGGCCGAAGTGTCAACCCACGAGCCCCTGAGAAAAGCATAAACGATGGAGTAAGTGAGAAGGCGCCGTGTCGAATAGGGTATATATATTATATATGTAATATATAGACATGGAATTTAAAAAACTGACGATAAGTGATGAGAAAGCAGTGTTTATTCGAAGAAATATCGAACCCTTACACAAGTCTTGTTTTGAATGAGTTGGACCGCATTCGGAGTTGTGGGCGGTTGGAGCAGTCGCCGATCTGGCAGTCAGCATCTAGCGCAGCTTGAGAGTCGATGCCCAGTCTCCAAGGCCCCAGAACCCGCGGGACGCGGGAATCTCCAGGAAGACTAAGAGTCCTGCGCCCTGGGCCCTCCCAGTCCCATGCATTTTGGAGGTCGTCGCGCCCAAGAAGGAGAGCCTCGCCGAGGCCGAGTCCTCTTACAACGCGATGATGGAGAAGTTGAATGCCAAGCGTCCCGACCTCAGAAGGGAGCCTGTGTGATCCAGGGTTTTGCGGCTGTTGAAGGCGATTTCAGTGGAGAAGGGACCGCAGGAGAAGGGGGAGAGTGAGCCACAGTGAGAGAAAAACAGTCGGGATCCAGGCTTCAGTTCCGTTGTGCCTGGGAACTTAAGTGCCCCCCGGATAAGCAGGTGCAGACCTGAAGAAGGTCGTAGATGAACTGGATGCCTTGAACCAGAAGCTGAACTCACTCAGGCGCGTGCTAATTCTGCTGTCAAGCACATTGCTGCGGGCTGTCAAGACTGGAAACGTGCCAATTTGGCTTCGGGTCCTCTTAGAAGCACGACGTTCTGCGTCAGGACCGAGCAAGACAACCTGACTGCTGAAGTGGACAATTGCCAGAAGAAGCTGGAACGAGACCTTCGGTTGAATCAGTTTGCAAGCTCTGCAAAGTGCAAGTGCCCTTTAACCTCTATGGTTGGTTCGGAGAAGGTGTGATATCCCGCAAATGAGCCTCTGACCCAGGCAGAGACCCTGATCACGTCCTTGGGCGGCGAAAAGACACGGTGGACGCAGAACGCCATCGACCTGGCAGCTGGGAGCCCAGCGCAGACTCCATGAAGGGGACTCCAGCCTCAGAGCGTGAACCTTTCTTCCAGATACGCTATCCTCGCAAGCTTGTGACACTGTCACGCTGGTTGAAAGAAAGCGTATGTATGTCGAACATGAAGGCGCTGGGTGCGAAGGTCGTGCTATTGCCATCTTTCTGTCATGATGTCGGCGACAGTGTCGCAGAGCTGTCGCTGGAAAGCATGGGCACGTTAGGTTCTTCGTACTCTGCTTGCCACTTAGTATGATGCCGAGTGCTTCTAGAGATGTTGCTGCGCACTTCCTATGTGTGAGGCTGACTATGTGAACCTCACGGGAGATGCTTGCCTGGCATGCTTTTCTATGACTCTGTACCGTAGTCATGACAGGCTTGTGGTTCAGGAGCAGGATGAGATATTAGAGTTTTGCATCCACGCCGTGGATGTCCTAGCCGTCTAGTAGAAGTCCGGACACGGTCGTGGTGTCTTCAGAATCGCCTCCTTGGTGTCGATGCTGTCGAGGCCAAACATCATGGACCCTCACGCCAGGTCATCGTGGCATCCGGTCTCATTGCTTATCTTGGAGCCTTCACACCTGACTTCCGCGAGGGAGCTGTCTCGCCTGAAGCCTGGCATGAGGGAGCAACGCCTTTCAGCTTGTCGCGTCGCCTCCCTTCGTGAAGACTTCGGATTCCTGAAGTTTGCATCTCCAAAACGAACAGTGTTCAGAGCTCATCTCGCCTCAGGTCCTGGGCGGCGGAATCTCGGGAACGCCAGATCCCAGGCTCCGAGAAGCCCCTCGGCGACAGGTAGGAATTCAAGCTTAGCCTCGAGTATTAGCTAAAGATTGAGTCTTACATAGTTGCTTACGAAGTCCTGCTGATGAGCTTGCAGGGTCCAATCCTTACTCCCAAACGTCCTAAACTCAGAGCTGCCCCAGTCGGGAATCTTTCTGCGCTTGTGGTTGTAGAACTCAGCACGCTTCATCATCGAACTATCTTGCACCCAGTTCTGTGTTGTTGGGTCGAGGTGGCTTTATTCAAGGATTGCACCTGGCTCCCAGACTTCATGATCTATCTTCTTGAGGTGAAGATGAGCAGACCCTCAACTCTTGCCAGTTAACCGCAAACCCTAAGTCCTGAAGACGCGGGCCTAGTCCTTGCTTGTGCTCAAAAGCCCGAAGCCCTTTAACTCAAGCTTGTGGCAGTACGGACCGTTTGTGTAGCACTGACACTCAGAGCAAGTTTTTGATCAGGGGCAACAGCGAGGAGTGTGAGTGTCTGAAGTACCAGTGCCTATATTGAGGCTCCGTTTGATTAATTTTAACGCTACGCCGCCCGCCTCGGCTGTGTAGCGGCAGGGCGAGGGGGCAGTCGATGTTTTTTATGCTAGGGCGGCCTGTCAAACCCCACCTTTACACGGTTGTTGATAGAAGTGCGAGGAGAACGGGCACAAGGGGGGTGGAGGGGGGGGGAGGGGAGGGGAAGGGGGGGGAGGGGGGGTGCTTCTTTTCCTCCAAACTTGTTAAAGCCTCCCGGCCGGACCACGCAAAACAGGAAATAACAAGGCGGAAGGAGCCTGTACACAAGGAGAAGCAAATTGAAGCAAGAGTTTAAGCCCACAAGGCACCGGGCAGCCACGGGAGAAGTGGGGGGCGGGGAGAAGGCGGAGAAGAAAGGGAGGGGAAGGGGCGGAAGGAGGAGGGAGGGGGGGCGGGAGGGGGCGGGAGGGGGGAAGGGGGGGGAGGGGGCCTGCGAGGGAGAGGCAGGCCAACAAACCAGGTAAAATGAAGGGAAGCCGGGCAAGGGGGTGGCAAAGGAATGCAAAAAAACAGGTGTCCCCAAACATTTGGACCGCAGGGAGGAGGATTAGGTGGAGGGTACCTGAGGTAACCCCCAAGACGCCTGGGCCTGTGGCCTCGGCGGATAACTGTAAACCTTCCGGACTTAAATCCCTAAAGTCCGATGCTCCCAAGGCACTACGACTAGAGGAGGCTCGAAGCCCCGAAAGCCTCAGGTTCAGCCTCGAGCGTTGTCTGGGCGAGCCGGTCAAGGCCGGTCTGGGCACAAGGGGTCAGCTGGATTGCGAAGTTCCAGGCGGTGCGAGCTCGGGGCCCGTCCCTGATTTTAGGGGTCAGGGCTTTAGGGGTCAGCATCTCTGGTGTCCTTGGCGGGGTGAATTGACGAATCAAGACATGAGGTTTGCGCGCAGGGTTTTACTTGCTACTTGTCGGGTTTGCGGGTCTGGGCAGTTTAGGGTTGGAGTGCAAGCTCAAAGGATCACACAAGGGCCCCCGTCAGACTGAGAATGAGGCTTTGGGCTGAGGTCTAGAGCATAGTGTAGCCATGAATGTGTGTCGAGTTGCAGCTTACCAGCTAGAGGCTAGAGGTGTGTGCAGGTTGACGTGGTGATGTGCTGCATGATTCACGGGTCGGGACTTTTCTGTTCGGACGCGCGATATGGCCAATTCCGGCATGGATGCTATATTATGCTATGCTCGGAGCACCGGAGCAAAGACGCAAATTGAACCGCAGCAATGGTCGCAGTTGACAGACGAAGCTTTCTAGGGTGTTCCCGCAACAAGAAACCTTGGCATGTACAGCTGCCGTACTGCCTCAGGTGCGTGCTTGGGTCGTAGCAGGGCTACCGAACGACTCCTTCAGCATCGAGAACGGCATCATCATGGACAAGGCCAGCCTGCTTGGGATTGGAAGTGTTCGGGGGGCTTTGGGCTTTCGCTGCTGTGCCCGAAATGCAACTGACTCCGTGGGATGGGGACAGGGGAGATTCTTCAGGATTCCATTTGTTTCAGGCACGAATTCCAACCCCCCGAGCCAAGACAGTGGCTTCGCCCTTGAGCTTGAGAGCTCCGACAAACCTGCCCTAGCATGAGCTGCCGATTTGCAAATGTGAAATCCAGATGAGCTAAGCATGTGAGTGCTTTCATGTACCTCCCGCTCAACCAGCCAGAGCCAAGATTATGCATAGAAGATTGAGAAAAGGGTGAGGGGCTCTTGACCTCGTTTCAACTGCTCAGGCGCGACGGTCCGGCCCTCAGGTACTCGGCAGTGGGAGTTGCGATGTCCCTGAACCTAGGAATCAGGATTGCTTTCTTCAGACTGTAGTGGGACCGTCCATAGGGCCATGGTGAGGTTCATCCCTCCAAATCGAATGCCTCAGTTTCTATGACGAAGCTCCGCCCGACTAATATCGCTTTGGGTGCTGACAGAGTTGTTCGGATGCGGTAGTTTCCCGTAGTTGTGCAGCCAACAGAACTGAACAGATAATTCCAGCGACGTTGACTAGCCACGACAACATACACAGTGGTGAGTTCTGGGTTCAAGCAGGAAAGCGACCATTTGATGCCTCGTCTCCTCTCACCTCCACCTTTTGCGTCCTCCTCCTGACTCCTGGCACTTCTCGTCTCGTAGTGGCAGCAGCAGCGGGAGCACTAGCAGCAGCCAGGGGGGATGATGATGGTACACTGGTGCATTCACATTGCAGGCCAATAATTCTTCAATCCCTCGAAGCTTTCCCAGGTGGCCCCTGTGCATTGATCCCCAGGGGCAGGCCAACCGATGGATCAAGAAGCGCTCCCGGCGAGTTTGTTTCAATCGCTTTCAGGGCTGCTTTAGTGGAAGAATTACGATCGGCGATTGCAAAACCCGACCCCAAAAGCTCTACAAGGCCCAAAGTGCTTTTGGAGCTGTTGGAACTCCCAAGCCCATCAGGATGGGTCAGCCACTCCAGATCGTCGTGGCCAAGTTCACCGATGGGGATTACCTTAAGCGCCTCGAAGGCGCGGCGATGCAGATGTGAGTAAAGGTGCTTACAACGAAACGAAACATGTGACGTGTCAGCCAGGGGCGTGAAAGTCCAGCGCTTCGGATATACTTGTAACTGCGCTGTAGTTTGTTTTTGTGGTAATCTGGGTACGAAACGAGATCGTATCCAAACAGCGATTTGCCACCCTATCCCGCAGGTTTCATCTTGATAAGACGCAGAGGCGTTTACAACAGTTGCTCGCAACTCAGAAACCTCCCACAGGCTGCATCCAATTCGGGAACCCGATGCTCATCGAAAATATGCTCGAGGCCGGTCCGAGATTTGCACGCAGGCGGCATTTCCAAGCGAATTCCAGCAAGGTCCATGCACACATGGTGCTGGCATGTGCTGGCGCGAAAGGCAAGAGGCGTAGACATAGTACAAGGTTACGCATGCCGCGTCGAACCGGAGATATCTGGAGATCTCGAGGACACGGATCCGGCGGTAGAGCCGGTGCTTCTGCGGCAGACCTTCAAGAAGGGAAATGCGCGTCTCGGAGCAAGCCTGCATACATGTCTATAGACCATAGACGGGTGGCGGTTTTGTGCAGATGCTGATTTGTTTCATGCTGGAGGATGCTGCAGCAGGTGTAACATGAGACGTGCGATGGAGGCATGGAGTGGAATGCCTTGACTGTGTTGGGAACAGTTCCGAGACACCTGCTCCACATCACATGGCAAGTTAGAGTACGCTTGCGTTTGCAGCATCGCATCTACCCACTCTTGACACAAAGCAGATTTAAAGCAATGTTTGGTAGCGAGACTCAAAGCCGGAGCAGTTCTGTTACTCTCATGCCCCAGGACCCCAGCCAAGACTGAATTCATGATGTCACAATGTCATGCAGCATGTGGCCGTTCTTGCAGATTTCAGCCTGCTTCTCCGAGTTGTAATTCGCAGCAGTAGGTTTGAGTCTTCATATTTTGGTACTTTGTGCATACACTTAGGGTGCTAAGAGTTTTAGAGTGGCCATGAGATCTTCGTGCCTGTTCAGCTTCTGAGGGACTGGCAATCAAAGCAGAGATCCCCGACCATTCTTGCCTGGGCAGCACCTTTCCTGCCATCCGAGGGTGATGATCAAGCTGGGTGAGGCTGGGACCCGAGCCTGTGGAAGGGATTTGCATTTGGCATATAGGAGAGATGAGGGGTCTGCTGTCGCATGGAACTGCAACTAAGCCTGGTTTTGCAATGTACTCCAGAAGATATCATTTCAGAGAAAGATGCGCAAGAAACCGTTTGTGCATTACCAGCGCGAATTCTGGGTACGTGGTTGCGAGCTGCAAACCATGTAATGTGAAGCAAGCCCCCTTAGTTGCACCCTATGACTCCGACCTCGAATTGCCAGACGACGATGGAGTGGCAGAAGGACTTCAAGTTCTATCTCACAACGAAGCTGAGAAACCCGCACTACCTTCCGGAGGCCGTTGGGTTGGCTCCCAGGATTCTCCGCGTGAGGCTTCCTGCAATTTCAAGTTGCCAGCCAGTAGGGTGTCCTATATGTACAATGATGGCATGTGCCCTGGATGTCAGGGGCGGGGTCAGAGACATTCCCCATCATCCTGACTACGCCCATCTACTACCTACCCCCTGTGGTGCACAACTCGCGAGCCTGCGACGAAGGTGGCTGTCAAGGTTACGCTGCTGAATTTCATGATCACGCAGGCAGGGAGGATCCTGCAGCAAATGCGCAATGGGCCACGGTAGGCAGAGTGGCTTGGCAGTGGAGTGCAATACTGTGCAATGGTAAGCAGATTTGCTCCCACTGGTTTCAGGATGCTTCGGGTTCCACAGGGTCACAAAGCGGGCACGTGGGTTGATTGTTGGAGAGGTGGGCCTGCAAGACCAGCTGCTGAACATCGTCGTGGAGAAGGACTGCTGTAGCACGCACACCGGAGCTAGTTTGTAAGGATTCCAGCGTTGGGCTGGTTTGCGGTTTTCGGATTGCAGGGTCCAGCAATCTGGTCCAGGTCAGAGGTTTGCAGGAGATGCCCACAGCTGAGTGCAGGAGCGCCCAGACCTGGCAGAAGAAAAGGCGCGGCTGGTTGTGGAAGGCGCGCGGGTCACAACGCAGAGTCCACTAAAACACCGTCCCTACTATGAGCCCCACGGTTCGAAGCTGCATACAAATGCCACATGCGTGCCACGCAAACAGGTTGCAATCCTGTGGACACCTTTTCCAGAACCCGACAGCAGGTGCAGAAAACAAAGAGCAGCTCGAGATCACGGAGAACAAGATCCTGGATGCCACTCGATCCTAAACCTTGTTTCTCAACATGCCTCGGGGCCTCCGGCCTCAGCTTTCATGGATAATAACAGCGTGCAAGCGTCGGCTGCCGGCCCGAGCTTCTGTCAGCACCAGTACGGGCGCCGGGGCGCAGAGCAGGTTCCAGAATTTGGATGGATAAGCCTCAAGCTTGAATGAAGGTTTAAGCTTGGGATTGTCAGAGACAACAGAACTGATGCATGCGAAGCAGTTGTACGGAAAACAGTACTCGATGCAGTCCTCACGAGCCTGAGCATTGGACTCATTAGACTGCACCTCGAGCTCCAAGGTGCTCAGTTCCTCCCAAGGAAACATCCTCGAGGATGAAGCTGCCGTTCAGGCTCAGGGTAGGGGTGGAAGGCTTCGAGCATAAATGGTATGAGGGGGAAGCATGGGAAATAATGTCAGTGCAGATAGCGTCAGGCTGATGGAGCAAAAGTAAAAAAACCAGTTCTTCGCAACAGATGCTCAACGTAAGCACTTGACAAGCGAGCAAGCTTACAAGCAATGCACGCAAGAAATTGATTAAGAAAGGACAGAGGGAAGGGGAGAGATCCCTATAGTCTACAATTCATGCTCTGCAGCATCATAACACAAGTTAAGAAGAAAAACAAGGAGTTGTAGGAATAGAACATCTGGGCAAGCAAGAACAGGGCTGGAGCGTGTTGAATCATCCCATGCCGTCGCGAGCAGTTAGCCGCACGACTGGCGGACTCTACTGTACTGCCGTGAAGGCCTCAACTTTGCCAGAATCCCGAGCGGCAGGTCCTGTCTGCCTCGAAGCAGCTGTCAAATGAGATTGCTGGGGCCCCATGAGGATTTCTCGCATTTGCCAGCTGTAGGTGTGGTGGAGAAGCTCGCCGCATTCGATTCGTTTTCTACGAAAGTCCGTCCACAGTGGTCTCTGCTTTCGTAGACTTATTGATCCAGTGCGGGCAGAGCCGAAAACCTGGACTTCACTGCGTCACCTCAGGCAGAGAAGCAGCAGACCGCTGAGACGACCGAAAAGCAGATTGACGAAGCTCGTCTCCAGTATGTTCCTGTGGCGTACTGCCGGCCGGCTTGGAGATGCAAGTCTCGCAGGTTCTTGCGGTGGATGGTTCCCCGGAACATGCAGCTGCCGGATTTAAATAGCTCTGGAGTGCTTTCTACGGCAGGTTTCAGACCGCCATCCTCTTCTTCTGCATCGCAGATCTTGCCAACATTGCCAGTTCCTCAAAGCCTCAAGGCCCTACTTATCAGTCATTGCTTTTCGCAGTGAGACGGCTGCAGCAGATTTGTCGCCCACGACGGCTGCAGAGAGTCAGAGAGGTTGCGGGATGCGATGGGACTCTGACACGAAAAAGTGCTGTGGATTCTACACTGCCCCGGCTCCATCCTTGAATCACCCCGAAGCCCTGAAGCTATCCGAGGATCCCATGTACCAGTACTCACTCCCCTTCTTCATCGGCCTCTTCAAAGCTGCCATCTCCAAGTCGGAGAAAACGGACGACATTGCTCTGGCCCGAGGGGCTCACGGCCCGCTGCAGCCGCAATCCTGAGCCCTTGGCCCTAGACCGTGACCCCCAGCGCTCCGGAGATAGGAATGTCAATGTTGCCAACATGCAAAAACCCATTTGCCGATGCAACGAGGGAACTGGCATGAGGTCAAGCGCATCGCGATTCTGAACGACTTCTTCATGGAGCGCTGTTTGGGACTTTGTAGTGGCGTAGCACGGACCAAGCGTCGAGCCAAATGGACAGGGAATGATGAAAGACCCCTACGTATTCCCAGGAGATGCTCTACAAGAACATCTGCCGATCGCTTTTCGAGAAGCACAAGCTCTTGTTCTCGTTTCTCTTGACCATGCGCCTGCGCATCACCACTGGCAAGGCCTTAGCTATGTTCCGTGTTCCTATCAGACCTATCACACTCATGACTTGTCATGCTGCCCCATTTCAGTCAGCTATAGAACCCGACTCGAAGCCTTGTTCAGGTGTCCCCGTCAGACTACCGCTTCCTGCTAACAGGAGGCACTGCAATGGAGGACGCATGCACGTGGAGGTACCAAGGTTACCTAGCACCGATCGTCTTGCGAAGCAGACTATAGCCCTGCAGCTTGCAAGGAGCCTCCGGCAAAGCCTGCTGACTGGATTCCAGACAGGTGTTGCAGTAGAATGCACATCAGTTTCTAGCGCTTGGGAAACTAGGAAATCTGGGCATGTATGGCTGTGGGTAATCAATGCCTTGTAATCTTGAAGCACCCAAAGATGCTTTCCACTTCGGATAAGCCCAGGCCATCCCATCTTATCGTGCCTTGCAGTTACACTGGTTACATGCCAAGAACGCCGAGCCAACTACGTTGTTTTTCTTTGCTTCGAGCTGGGGCGCAGATCATGCTCTATCTAGTCATCGAGTCCTGAGCAGCAAGTCCCAAATTCAACGGGATTCAGGGGTCAGCAAGAAGTGACTGGACCTGTGCGCAGTTGAGATAGGTGCTGGCTGGAGATTTTCAAGCTCAGCAAGGTCGAGGAGCTTTATGCCCAAATCCCGGTGTGGGCCCCGTTATCCTCATCGAGCTGAACATCGTAATGCAGTGATAACTAGAACATCAGCAGAATCCTCGCCATCATGGTCACTGTCGGTCGCCATTGTCATGATCCTCGTCCTAAAAGTTGCAACTCCAAACACTTCTAAAGCCATCCACCACAGCTAACAACGAACACCCGAACAAATCGAAAACCAAAAGCAGCAACGGCAAGCCCTTCAAACCTTCAATACCGTTCAGCTCGAGATGCTCGTGCAGGTTTCGGGTGGCCCTGCCCACCCCTGCCCCAAAACCAGATCGACAGAACAGCATGACCAGCACCATGGAAGCTCCACGTTTGGTAGTGGTCCTGTGAAGAGCTCGTGTCAATGCCGGATTAACTTGGAGTTGAGTGTCAGCCACTTGGCCCACAGCTACCTCGACCGATTTTGCCTGGACAGGTCCCACCTCTTAGCTGCTTTAGCTGGGATCAGTTGCCAGGTACTTGGAGGAGCGGGTCAGTTTATATGACGGAGAGTCTTTCTGAGTATTTCTGAGTAGTGGTACGAGCAACCTTTTGAGAGTCGAACGGTCAAAGCAACACTGTAAAGGAAAAGAGTCGTTCGTGGCCATGAAGCTTCTTCTGTGCCTGGTTCTCTTGGCCAGCAGCTCTGGCACTGAAATTCCAGGTTCAATTCGGTGGCGCAAAATCCAGGGATGCGGTGACAACGCCTTCCCCTGTGATGCCGACACGAATGGTGTCTCTGGCTGTTGTTGTGACGACTTCTACCAGGCCAATCAGAGTGGACACTGCCAACCATGTGAGGTATCCATTCCTTGGAGATGCGCTGCTGCCATGGTAGCGGCATCGGGCGTGAGCATCGCGGGCGCACCTGCGATTCTTGCTATGGCAGGCTTTACAAGTGCTGGCATAGCTGGTGGGTCCTTGGCAGCTCTGTGGCAAAGCCACATGGCAGTAGTGTCGGGAGGCAGTCTTTTTGCCTGGTTGCAGAGCATCTCTATGGCGGGCTTGGGAGTGACAGGAAGTCTGAGTTTAGGTGGTACCACAGGTGCCGCGGCTATGGCCTTCTGCAAGGCAGTGGACCACTTGTGTAAAGGCTGCATCGACCACTCCACCATGGAGTGTTCTTCAGCAGTCGAGAGCAGCCTCATTCCTTTGCACCGGTTCTTGGAGGATCAAGGATTGGGCTCAGCCGCGAAGGACATCATAAAGTCCAGCGGTGCCCAGAGCTTGGAAGATTTGATAGAATTGGATACGGAGGCAGTCGCACAAATCATCCGGGAAGCCGGCTTGCCGGCCGTCCTTGCTAGCAAGCTGCGCAAAGCTTTGAAAGTCTTGCGCGGCGAGTAGCCGCAGTGGGCGGACAAGGTTTTCCTCGGAAGCACGAAGTCTCGCAACACTGGCGGCAGGTTACTTTTTAAGCTTCACTTACGGGTACAATTTTATATTTTGTAGTTCCAGCTCATGTGCAGGATATCCCCGCGAAAGCCGTCGGTCGCTGCAATCAGCAAGTGATACTAGTCATGGTCATCATCGCCATCGTCTCGGCGTTAATTCTAAGCACTCCAAACCACCAAGAACCTTCCTTGCAACCGTCCACAGTAAGGCCAGCTTCAACGAGCAGATGGTGCGATGGAAAGAGGCCTATGATTCCTCGGACCCTATGGGGTCGAGCTCCGAGAGAGGGTTCCGTGCTGTGGGGGGGGGGGAGTTTTCATTGCCTACAGAGACTTGTACACTTCTTGGGATTGGCCTGGCTTTCGCACTTCTTCACAGTTGTAGTTGGCCAGGTGAAAGGGCCGTGTTTGTGCTCCAGGATGTCAAAAGTGTCACTATCGAAAGCACGATGCGTCCTAATGACAATCCTTTTGGCAAGCAAGCGTGGCCAACACATCGTAAAAGGTCTTGCATGCTCGTTTGTTGTTTACATGCAATCATGCCAGAGCCAGCCCACCACCGCTGCCTTGGCACATTTGCGGTCACCGAGGTGTCTGACAGGGCCAACGGCACCCCACTGCATCGAAGGCTCCTGGGAAGAAAGGTTTCCAGCTTCAGGAATCTTCCATGCTGTGCGTAGTTATTAATCTTGTTTGTTGGTGGCCATGTACCTCGACACTGCCTGAATCATAGCAATGGAAGGCGGCAGGGAGCCTCTGTTCTTTGAGAGACACAGATGTTGGATGTTGCATGGTCAGCGCCGATCATTCTTACGAACACATTTCTCAACACCATCCGTTTAGGTCAACCTCCCAATGGAAAGACTGGGTCCTAAAGCAAGCGCCGACACTTGCTGAGACCTTTCCGGCTTCCAGAAGCTCCTAGTGCTGAGGCCAGGCCTCTCTGAGCTTTTCGATCGGGCGTTTTGTTGGTTTCCAGGCCCTAGGACCTTCAGTCAAGCCATGCATATTGCTTGCATCAAACAGTCACATCGGCAAGGAAGGGGTTGTCGCTTACGACACGCGTAGAACGTCCAAAGAATTGGAGGATTCCTAGAGTCTGACTTGCAGCTGCGTCGGCTTGAGACATGAGACTTCGCAGTATCAAAGTGCAATTGAAACTGAGTCGCGTCTATTTTCCAAAGCCTCACCATGGAGCTTTTAAGCAGCGTTGTTTTGGTCTCCGGTCACGAGGCTGACGACTCTTCTTCAGGCAAACCCTTTTTGGCGATGCTGACTAGGACCAGCTAAAAGTCGGCCGTCGAGTCGCTAGGAGCCTCATCCGGATTCTGGAACCTTCACGCTTGTTGCAAATCGTCTCAGGTGTGTCCGACCCGACCGCGTCTTGCCGGCGGTGTTGGGCTACGTGGCAGATGAGGCGCCGGGCAAGAGTCATAAGACGAAGTATCCCAACCCGGGGATGTGCATGATGATCAGCTTGCGATTATATGTACGGAATGTAGTCTTGTTGGATTCTGCTAGATTCCAGATGTCGCAGCTTGATGGATCCAAGTTGAATGTCGTGCTGCGTTGTCAATTTTTCTGCAAGCGCCATGGGCTAGCCTTTTGAATTTGCACAGCACTGCAGTTCTGTCAGATTGGTGAAAAGTTCGTCACACCACCACCTTTCGACATTGCTGGCAGCCCCTTGGCGGAATCTTTTAGCACGGAAGCTTTCGTCATCGAGGTTTGAGTAGTGCGGATCGAGACGACTCTTTGGCACCTGGAGTGTACAGCTTCTTCGACCTTTGTCGAACTAGCTTACATCACAACGCCCAGGCTATGCCGACTCTTCCACCATCTCCCCCCTCATCTTTGTACTGTCGCCCGGGTGCTGCGCTCGACTGAACCGCACCTTCGCGAGCATGCGTCAATTGAACTGGCTTGTGAATTGCGACTTCATCAAATTAAATATTCATGAGGCGTGACAGCCCAGAAACCCCAACTTTCGCAACCGCTTCCAGCAAGGTCAAAGCAGCTCTAGGAGGTACTGAGCTTTCAGGTCGGACCCGTCCTCTGCCCTGTACATGTTCGCCACAGAGAAGGCGCATCCTTCAATTCTTGCAACTGTGTTCCACTGCGCCGAGGGCTTCAAGGGTTTAGACGAGCCGAAGAGCGGTTCCTCGATCAACCGACGGAAGCGGGTTGTGAAGGTGCTGGACAGCTTATTGGAAGCGATTTTGTAGGTTTGAGCCGCAGCTTTGTTTCGAGCTCCTTCGCAGGGCAGGGAGATCAACAGCCTGTCGCTAGGCGCCGCTGCAGCAATTCATGTTGGGTGAGATTACACCCGTAATTTTGGGTTGGCTTCTAGATTTCAGGATCGCAAGTGCATAATGTTAGACTTATTCCTGCGCCAGGGCATTTTGATAAGTCTTCGTTCTTGACTTCTCGTGGATAAAGAAGAACCGCAACTCCACGTCGGCAGGCCGCATCTAAGCACCGGACCAAGCTCCAAGACTCCAAGGTCAGGGTCAGGGCCCCAAAGCCGAGAGGCTGCTAGCGGACGCCACGCAGAACGGAAGTTGGGTGGGGGCCTTGGATTGGTCGGAGAGCTTCGGAGAGCTTTCGCTCCGCGGTTCGAGGGATTGATTCCCAGAGAGCGGCTGGCCTCCTATGTGTAGGGTTTGATGTGAAACCTCGGTTCGGGGAACGTCCTCCTTTCGCACAGGGACAGCAGGCACGGGAGCTGGATGGGTGCGGCTTTGCGTGAGATCATCGGAAGCATGACAGGTGCTGCTGCAGAACTGTCACCTCTTTGCTTCCTGGATGCCGAAGTTGGACAAGATTCTGGAGAGCCGTTGGCATGTGGGTCGAGGGTGGTATGAACTGCTGTCCAAATTTGTGTAGGGTCACCAGGGTGAAAGTACGAAACGTGCGCCTTCGGGTGCGGAGCAGCGAAGAATATTGTTTGTTTTGCATGGTTTGCCGGTTTTCCGAAGGCCGGAAGAGTCGGCACAAGCTGAGCAGTGTGGCCTACAGAGTGCCCGTGACACCCTGCACGCTCGCGAGGAGCAGATGGATCCCAAGCAGACAAACTCGGACTTCCGGTCGCTCTGGCGACTTGACGACGGACTCCGTGTGCCCTCTAACATTCTAAGAATGATGCAAGTAGGGATCCAGGACCCACGTTCCTGGAGGCAGACATGCCACACTGGCTGCTGCAAGATGCTCAGGTCGCTGTTTTCTCAAAATCCACAGCTTAACAATACACTCGTGCCCATGTTCTCTCAATCTCAACACATATGCGAGTTCCAGGCTCAGCAAGACACCTCAAAAGGTTCAGCGGCCTTCTGTGACCTCTACAAGTCTGCAGTTCCTGGCTTCTCTCGCCAGGCTTTGGCTCACGTCATATCCCTCCGACAAGTTCCCGGCAGTGCCCTGAGTGTCAGGACGGCAGTGGGGAGTTTGGACTTCTGCATCAAAATGAAAGGATCAGAACACTGTCCTGCAGCATTCCCTGGAACGTGCTTCGTTGAACTATAGGTCTCAGTGGCGCTTCGGCAGTTGCAAGGACAGGGTAGACTTGGCTATATTACTCGCAGAGGTGCTGACAACGGTCTCGTTTGTCCCCCCCCCCCCCCCGGCCCCCCGCCCAGGTCTCGATCCTGCAGAACAGCGCCGGGGAGCCCTGCAGCCTCGGATTCCTAGTTTCGTCTGTGCACAGCATATGAATGTCTCATGCATCCTCAGTGATGCCCAGCCAGAGTGTGGGATGTGTTTTGAGATTCAGGGAGAGACTTGCAAGTTGCACTGCACCCTCAGATCAGTTCCGGCTTGTGTGAAGTGCAAGTGTTTCGGCCACTCATTGCATGCCTTCAGTGCAGGATTTCAGAGTCAAGGATGAAACGGGAATGCTTGCTGCTCCCTCCCTATGTCAGCTTCCCACGGGCCTCGGGAACACATCTGATCCGAATAATTCAATGGCCAGCCTTCCCACAGACGGCAGACGTGGCAGAGGTCAAGATCACCAACGAGGCTCCGCAGGGTCTACGCATGAACCTCGAAGGATCCTACTTAATGGCGCTGGCCTCAGCTGCACACGTCCCGTCACCGCAGGGTGTTTTGGGCTTCCGGGTTTGGCTTTGTAGAAGCTTGGCTTCAGAGGTTGCTGCTCTGGCTACCACAGGCCGTTCGTCCGGCTGCGGCTCTTGCCACTTCGTTCTCGTCTTTCAGCACAGATTATGTAGGCTGGCCAGGCCGGCAGAGCAGAAACCTGCTCCGTGACTCAGGACCCCATCAGCAACGAGGAGTTCTTTGAGGCATGTAAAAACCCGGAGGCGCTCCAGTCACTTGCACACTAACTCACTAGCGGCATCAATCTGTTGCATCGGAGGAATCGTTTGAACTGGATAGAATTGCAGGGGTATAGGTTGCAGGCATCAGGGGTCATGCGCCGGGCTTTGTGTTTCGATCCACACAGGATAGGAGACATGATCCAAGCGAGATCAATCCTCAACCGAAAGCCCGAAAACCCTTTGGACAAGTGGAGGGGGGCACTTGCATGATTGAATGCTTTCGCAGGTTGTCGACTGGTAATGGAACCGGTGTGTTCAACATTGAAATTTTTAGTGAAGAGGGTTCGATACTCCGTCTATTTCCAAAATTCTAAACTAACAGCTGTGAAGCAGGGCATGTAGGACTCAGGAGCAGGCGTTCCGTAAAGGTACAGCACAAACGGGACAAGAAGCTGTTGCTCCATGCTGCTCCAGAATGATGGCCACGAGCAACAGGCCAATCCTAAAGGAAGCATGCCCACGCAACATAAAGTCGCATATCATCAAGAAGCCAAGCCACCTGAATGACAGAATTCAAGCAGATTCTATCTCACAAGTCTGCGTGGGGAACAAATCCTGCGAATCCCCCACAACTGGCAACAAATAAGTAATGCACGGAGACTTGCAGGCATTCAAGCGGCTTCTCTACGCACTTTGCTTCTTCCACGCCGTCATCCAGGAGTTCAGGGCAGAGGGCAGTCTGAGGGTGACTGTGAGCGCTAGACGGTTCGGGTCTGAAGCTCGGCGTCCAGGAAGCCAGGAAGCAAACAGTGAAGTTGCCTCTGAAGGGAATGGTAGCACTTTCTTGGGCTCGAATAGAGCACGACAAATACATGTCGAACGTCTCACAGCATCTGGATTTGTCAGCAAGTCGTCGCATGGACTGTGCGGCCAGCTACCAGGTCTCTGACATACCGACGACCTTAGAAAGCCGATAAAACTCATGAGGAACCAGACGCAAGAACTGTCTTAGAAGCCCGTGCCCAACAACAAACCTGTCGGCCGCGAGGCATAGGCCGTCCTCAGCCACGCCTGAACCGCTACACTTAATATGTCCCACTTTACGCATGTACGTTAGCATAAGCGAGTCTTTGTAATGTAATCTTATATAGGCTTATAGTCTACAACCCCCACTAGGTCTGTGCCCTCAGCTGTCCATCAGGAGCGCCGGCTCTTCGGTCCACTGGGTGACTTTGGCTGCCATGGCGGGTTCAGGGTCGAAAGGAATCATCATGCCCATAGAGCAAAAAAGTATAGGATATGGCTTTTGATTATATATAGCAGTCATATCATGTCATATCATATCATACCCTCATACCCTCGCACTGACCCTAACCCTACCCTGTCCTTTCCCTTCTATCTCTGTCTCTCTCTCTCTCTCTCTATCTCTCTCTCGCTGTCTCCCTCCCTGCTATGATGTCTCAAATCAAAGTCGGTCTCAGAATCGGAGTCGGGACGCGCTGGGATCATGTGGGTTTTCGGCGTGTGAGTTGCGATCGGAAGGAAGACACCCTGCAGAAGGCAAAGCTTGCAGCCTCTAAGGCTGGAACATCCCATACGAGTTCACCCAGAACGCCCGGGCCCGAGGGCAAGTCATCGCTGTGACTTCCTAGTGCACAAACAGCAGCCGGTGCGGTTGTGTTACCGGTTTCGAAAAATTTTTGCCGTCGCTGAGAGGCAGCCGTTTCAGTAGCAGTGCCTCCTTGCACCCTTGTGCTCAGGATCTGCGGATTTCCGCGAGACAGCTGCAGATGTTTATCGACGAGTCTCCTGAACAAATACAGTACAAGGCTGTCTTGCTTCGGGGTAGATGGGACTGCCCGCCACTTGTTCTGAGAATGAGCAGGACAGCCTCCTGGGCTCAGGGTTCAGGAGTCAAATAAGTGGCAGGCCATCAACTATTTGGCTGGCGAGTGTAACTACGGCGGCCGTGTGACGGAAGCCCAGGACAGTAGAAAGAAGAGTGTGGGGGTGGAGTTTGCATTGCCGAAGTTCAAGCACGGCCTGTGCAGCTTGAAGTCTGAGAGTGCTGGTTGCAGAGGATGTACTTGATTGGTCCTCACGCTATAGGTGGTGTCGTGTCACACGCAGTCATTGGTACAGCATTTGGCTATGTGAGTGGACTGCAAACCTACTTAATTCCCTGTGGTCCTCAGCCGTAGACAACAGAACAAACAGAAGGACCGGCGTCTTCTGATGATTCTCCTGCTTGATTACTACAACGCAGATGTGCTCACGCCAGGCCGCTGACATGACCAGTTCCAACATTAAAAGACAGACGAAGCCTGAACAGTTGCCCGGCGTGTGATACTGATACGTGATCTTCCATCTACCAATCTACCTCCGAGCACAAGGATCCTCAAACCCCCTCAAAAAACCCTGCGAATGACCTTCATGGGGCTTTCATCCTGCGAGTCGGGTTTAGAGTGGTTCGTCCGGCTCGCTCGGGCACGCTGATTGATCAAGCCAAGTGAAGACGAAGACTGTCGCCAATCTCATCTTTGGAGGCAGACTGCTCAGCCATCAGACTTATCAACGGACCACTCGTTCTTCTGCATCCTTCAATCCAGATTCCTGTCTTTCCGCCTTGTCGACATCCTTCACGAGAGGCCCTTGGCCAGGTCCTCTTTTTCCGCTCTGATGCGCAGGCCACTCACTTTGTGCCGAGCATCCCGAGTTTACTGTGCCCCCTCCTGGCACCTTGGAGGCCTCGGAGTGTGCAGCACTGGCATAGAATGTGACGGAGCAGCCTAGTCGTTGTCTGCGGTGCTTGCAGTTCTCAAGGCGTAGATCGAAGTGAGAACATATGGCTGCACAGAGCTACCTGTTCTGAATCGTGCCGCATGCATTGCTTGGTCCCACGCTCGAAATTCCTCCCAAACCCAAAGACGAAAATACCCTGAAACCCTTTATTTAGGCAGCCTGAGCTGGAGGAAACACTCGAGAACATCCGACACACACCGTTGACGACCCCGCCAGGGATCTACGGTGCGCTGGGGCATGGTATGGGTTTTGAGGGTATGGGGCAAGGTGGCAAAGTTGGAGCTGCGGGTCATGCAAGTTCTTACGAGATCTCGGATTCTCAGTACACGCTGAGCATGTACAGATCCTTGCCCTTAAGATTCTCAGGCATGCGAGGTGAATAACAGCGTCTGCAGCACACTATCCCTTGCCGTCTACCTGTGCAGACACCTTTGCTGGGCGGAGTAGAATGGGTTTAAACTCATTCGCTATGGCTTCTACCAGCCACGCCCCTTGCATCAGTCAAGCGTCGCAGGCTTCCACACAAATGCCAATCTCACGCGCGAGCAGAACGAAACGTATGCTTTTGGGATTGCATTTGGACCGTGCTGAAGTTTTTGATTTTTGTCTAGTGCTTGTCAAGGCAGGTGTCGTTGTGTCTCAAGGCAGACCAAGGTCGAGCTTCTCAAGCAACAGTCGTGTTCTTGAGTTTGAACCCAAATCTCGAGGCTATGATGGAGAGCCTGCTGCTGACAGTGGGCCAGGCTCGTGTGGGCTCCCGCATTTTCTGACCGCTTTTCCCCATCGGACCAAAGCCATCGAAGGGATGTTGAAAAAAATGAAAAAAGGCTCCTGTGAGACTTGGACCCGTGAAGACCCAACGATGTCTTCAATGCCATTCGGTTACAAGCACGGCTCCAGGGACCACGGTCCTCCATCTTGAGAAAGTGTATCGTGCGGCGTTGCGGAATAACGGCGCTGAGAGACCAACAAGAGACTGTGCGCCACGGATGGAAGTGATTCAAGGGCAGTCAAGAAGATGTTCTGCGGTCCACTGGATTGGTGCTCAATTTGTTCAAAATTTGATGCAAGCCAAAGTGAACTCTGCAGGTCTTCGGGACAACTCTGGAACAGAGGAGCCCAACGCTATGTGGCCCAAACGAAGTCATGGCGGGTTTCGCCCCAGCCAGGCAGAACCCGCCAGCTTCCGGACACCACCTGCCAACTTCCCCATCAGAAAAGCAAAGGTGATCATCAACATGGAGAGCCCGTCATGAGTTATGCTTTGTTATCGTGTATCTTAAACATACCCCTTATATACCTATGTTAGGTACATCACACGGTAACCCCCCAAGTCTAAAACGCCCTCGATCCATGCCATCTCTTGGTCTGTTCTCTGCGGCAGGCCTCTGGGAGTGGCGGGTCCTCGGCCGAAGAGACCGTGGGCGAGGCCGGGGCCTAAGGGGTTCCTATGGAAAGGCTCGGGACGTCGGTCGGGGCCAGTGTGATTTACAGGATGTAGGACTCGGAGTGTAGGGTTAAGTCCATTTTGTCTTGTGGTTCCAGCTTGACTCTCCTCACTCCACCATACTGGTTGTGTGTGTGTGTGTGTCTGTGATGCAGTTTCACGCGAAGTTCTCTCGGGTTTCCTGCTCCATGCAGCACATAGAACTCGGGGCACATGGCCATGCCCATCGAGACATCTTCAGAAGATGCCAGGCTGCCAATGATATTTTGCGGCGGCTTCCCGGGCAGTTCGACCTCGAAGAAGTGCAGAAGAGGCCAGGAAACAGAGGTCGCTGGGCTTGGGCTGGAGGTTAGGACGATGAGGGTTGTTTGGTCTCCGGAAAAGATCCTTCTTTCGAAGGACACCTGCAACCTTCAAGCATTGTTATGGTGAATCTGACGCCACCAGGCGATCGATGGGTCGGATAATGAGCAGGTATCCCACCATGTACGAGGAGTCCATGAACACCGTTCTCATTCAGGACACTGTGCTGGCTCGGTGTGGTGGGACGAACATGTCCGTTGGCATGCACTTTGCTTTGCTCTGACCCAACGATGAGTGATGATGAGTGGCAAGATCCTGACACTACAAACCAAGTAGCCAGCATCTGCAATCCGAAGATCTCACCAGGAGCTCACACGCTTCAACGGGCTTACAAAGGTCATCACCGCGACCCTGAAGGATCCAGCAAGGGCTACGAAGAGCCATTTTCCCAAGCTGTACTTTGGAATATTAAACAGCACGTCTGCGCTGCAAAATGTGTTGCGGTTATCCATATGTGTGCAGGGGTGAACATTGAGATTCTGCCAGTTTGGACAGGACATCCAGAAAGCCATTCAGGGCCTGCTGCTGATGAGACGGGCCCTTGGTTCCTATCCGTAGCAGTACGCAGCGGAGTACATGTGTGGAAGCCTTGAGCGCTCAAAGGAAACTTGGGGTAGTTGCCCGATCATGCGAGTAGGTAGAGAATAGATGTGAAACGGCGACCCTTGAACAGTGCGGCCTTTCCCGAACACGACAAAGCCCAGTATTCATGGCGGACTGAAGCTCCACCAATGAGATGTTATCGGCTGAGGCCCAGACTTGGAGCAAGTCTTCCTGTCCATTTTCAACGGCAAGACGCCGGAGCCCTTCTGGAGAAAAGCCTCGCGCGGCAAACCCAGCTAGAGCTCTTTTCTTCCGAGGCCAGCGATGTGGCTTGCAAACAGCTACCCGTCGCTGAAGCCGCTTGGTGGGTACACCAATGTGCCTCGGACTGAAATGCTTCGTACCGATTTGCACACAGACCTCTTCTTGGTGTTGTTGCCGTTGTCAGATGTGTGTCACATGGTATCGGGGTTGAGGACATCGAGGTCAAGGCCATCGAAGGTATGAAAGGTCCTCGAACTGCACTCATGCACGCTTGGAGCACGAATACAACATGCGAAACCGAAATCTATTGCTCCATGATGCCTAGGCCCTGTAGGCCTAGGCTGCTCAACGCGAGCCTCTTGATGGCTCAACGATGCAGGGTTCTGCAAGCAGCACCGCAATGTCTATGGACCTCAACTTGGGCTTCGGCCAGCTAACGGGTACAGCAGTCGGGATCTCGTGATCTACAGTAGCTTGGCCCCGGCAACGAGTGCAAAATCGACTCGACCTTTCTCAACAAAGTTTCTTCAACTCGCTCCCAAAACTCTGGAAACACCGAGGACCTGATAGAACGATTGAAATTCTTCCAGGCTGCGCATGCCGGATCATGAAATGGGAGCATGTCGCTTGCAGGCTTTGGCACTTCAGTCGGAAACTTCAAGTGCAATGACGTCGACGGTTCTGCTGCGGATCCATGTCGCCGTATAGGGCGCAAAGCATGACATTCTTGCAAATTTACTGAGCAAGACCCCAACCCCTCCACGGATTTTCGAGAACAACTAACTATTGGACTATCCACCCATACCCGCCTGCACAGGCCTGGATTGACAATGGCATTCCCGTGACTTTCTGGCTCAGTGGCATCTACTTCACCCAGGCAACAAGCTGCATGCGCATTCCCGAAGCTTCTTGCCTTGGAGGAGGCTCTGATGAACTCCCTATAAACTCCTCCTCCGAACCAACCGGATGCGGTACTCTCACCTTCGATGCAAAAGACAACACGGTGAACAAACCTGAGGGCCTAAGACGAACAGCAACTCGCAGCCTCCAACCGCAAGGCCTTCACGACCGGCGCCGCCCAGAATTTCGCACGAAGGCAGATGGCATTTGAAATGTCTATATTAGTCTTGCTCTTGGATAAGGGCTCTGATGCATCTAGATGTTGTCTGCGCTTCGTGGGTAACAGAGCCAGGTACACCATTCCAATAGACACCCTGGTATTCGACTACGAGATGCCGCAGGAGAGACACGGGAGCTGCTACAGCTGACAATGTAGTGGTGCGGGCTGTGTGGTCGCTGCCCACTCGTCTGCTGCTGCATGTCAGTGTACAGAAAGGCCCCTTCTACGCTCAAGAAAGGCTGGGGCATCGAGTCTAGAGAGCCTCCGACTTGATCCAGTTTTGGAATTGTTGCTGGCTCTTGCACTGCAATGTCTGGTCAGGACGGGCGTCATTTGAGGAACAGCTACGCATTGGTATCATACACATCTATCTGTTTACGACAGCTGCCGGATGCTGCCGGTATATGCTGTTGATTGCTGTTGGATAGATATGTCGTTGGGGAGCCAGCAGCTGTTTAATCATGTTATATCGGCATCACCTCCGACCCTCGGATATATGATCATGAGGCAATGGGGCATACCGGCGAACAGTAAAATCAGAATTCAGCCCCTTTGACGGCATGCACTGGCAGAAGATCTGACACTCTGCAGCCCAGCTTCCTCGGTGCCTGTGCTCCTCAGGACCAGCATCCAGTTGCAAAGCCGGACAATGGGGCTCTGGCCTAATACCTCTAGGATTGCAGTTGTGCTGGTCTATGCCTTCTGAGTTGTGGGTAGTGTGTCATTTCTGAAGTGGTCTTTTTTTGCATTGTGGCTCTGGTTTGATGGGGCGGGTCCCTCCCCATGCATGGCACCGGACAAGCTACCAGCCAAAGCACTGATCGGCCGCCACTTTACGGTCTGATTCGTTGACACAGCACGCCACAGACTCAATGGGCACGCCCTTGATCGAGCTTTCGTTGTCAGTTTAATTGTTGACATGAGTGCAGAACTGCGCAGAATCTTGAGTCGCAGGGTGTAGGATAGACAAAGCTCAGTGTCGAACACCATTCTGTTCCAGACTAATAGCCTTGGCGAAGGGCCATTGCAACCTTAACCCTTGTCAAGGGATTTCACGGAGCCTGTCGGGGCTCATCTGGAGGATGGTCACCTGAATCATCACCTTGTCGTGCATCAACTAAGGTGTCGGATGTTGCAGGATGCGATCCTAGCCTGAGCATCCCATGACAGGCTTCCATCTAAAACCACCGGTGTCAGAGGTCTACTGTTATGGCCTCTTCCTCGAGGGATGCAAATGGGACTGGAGCGAGCACGGCGCTGAGCGAGGAAGGATAGAGATGAACGTCTTGTTAAGGAACATTGGGCAAGCAAGTTTTTTCTTGCATCATGCAAGCCGATCATGGACGAGTGTAAGTGCATATGCCTACGATGTGCAAGAGTCACTAGACATTCAAAGTTGGTATTGGCATGTCACCAATGGCTTCTCTCCGAACACGAACTCATGCGGGAGAGGTATGTTCTTGAGGCTCTCGTATGAAAATATTTAGCCCGCCTCAAAACCTCATGATGGTCTCACCTAGTTAATTTTGTGCAAGAGTTCATACGGCCTCAACATGCATCATGTAAAAAGCAGCTACTAGCATAGATTAGAGCGATTAGACTTGTCGCTTGGCCTTGTTTCAGCTTTTCCCAGCTGCTGGCGCCTCCGATCCACCGTCGTCCAGAACCGTCGTGCTCCTTGGATCCTAGACGTAACACCCCTGGAAGTATGTGTGTTTTCTAGATGTATGCATATATATATATGTATATAAATATATATATATATATATACATGTACATATACATATATATATATATATATACATACATATATCCAGATATGTCTATGTATGTATGCATGTATGTATGTATGTACATAGGTAGTTATGCATGCATGCATGCATGCATGCATGCATACATGCAGCCTTACATGCAAGCACACAGACTTGCATGTATGGCTGTGCTTAAATAAATCATATGCGCACGTACATAGCTACAAACAGGCATGCGCACCCACATGCATGGATGCACACATACGTACAGAAACGAGTACCTGCATGCATGCATGCATGCATGCATGCATGCACACATACACATGTACATACATGCTGGACATACAAGACCTGCATGGCATACATTACATACCTTGCATACATTACATGTCATTACATCAGATGACCGTACATTCATAGCATTGCATACGTACACACAGGACACACAAAACACAACATAGCCAAGCATCGCCTGGCATGACACTTCACAGCATAACATAAACGCAAACTTACATATACATGCAAACATGCATGCATGGCATACACGCATACTCACATATGTACATGTATGGATCCATACATATATGCATACATGCATACACTCATATGCACATGAACACCGAAGTCCATATGCATATGTATGTGTACAAGATATAGATGAAGGTATAGATTCACTCATACATATTCAGATACAGATATAGATAGATAGGTATGGGTATTGACATAGGTTATATTGAACCCCAGAAAGTTGGAACATAGATCTAGGATGATTCATGCTGGGTTTCCCTGTACTTCACTTAGAGGGCATGAGAAAAATGATGTTCCAATTTTCTGGCTTGTACCTTATACAGAGATAGACAGATGGATGGATAGATAGATATACCATATATCGATAAGAGGCCCCCTGTTTGTTGCACTGTCTTGCTCTAGCCCATGGGATTATGCTTCCTGTATGTTTGATCTTATGCCTTTTGCAAGAAGACCTGGCAGACTTGAGCCGTTTAGGGTCCTCCTCGCACCAGGTGGCAGCTGGCAGAGAGCGACCTGAAGGTTCTCTATGTTACTCGGCAGCAAAAGGGGTCTTCGACGAGCCTTCGAGTAGGACTCAGAGTGTCGGGTTAGGGGCGGTTCAGGGCTTGCCAGGTTTGGTCTGTGGTCGAGGATCACTTACAGCCTTGTGGCAGATCTTGGAGGGTCCGTGGCCTGGGATGCTCGCCGTGTTTGTGCACAGATTCTCTCAAATACTGACGATTTCGCTGACAGCCATCTAGACCCCGCCTAACTTACGGCAGAGATTGTCCACACAGCGAACCCTGAAAGCTGGACGCATCTCAGGTATCAGTGCCCTTGCTTTGGATCGTGCCTTGCAAGAAGGCCGTTTTTCTCATTGCAGGGTTTGCACAGGTTGCCGGGATGTGGCTCAAAAGTCCAAGGTGTGATTTCGGACAGCCACATTCAAGACTCAAGACCGATGTTGGGGGTACGCCAATGGTGTGCCACTCAAGGCAGAAGTATGGGAATACTTGCGGCGGGTACCCCCGTATTGCTACAATCGGTGCATAGCTCAGCCCCAAACTGACAGCTTCAGATTCCGCGCAGAACTGCGATGACTTCAACCCTTGCTTACACTAAACTCCAACCGCAGATCCAAAAGCGTTCTCTGTGACATGTCGCCCGGTGCCTAATTAGCCACCCCCCGCCCCTCTCCGTCAGGCTGGTCATTGCCTTCGGTTTAGGGTCTGCCCAAGTAAGTGAGTAATATTTGGTCTTGAGGGCATCCAGAGTCCCCGAGTACCCCAAAGCCAGGCTGAGCTCCGAACCTTTCCATGGTACGACTGCCCTCTCTACAAGGCGAGGAAGTTTCCGTGCCGGTCCAGCGTTGAGAGGTTTCAGGCGCATGCAGCAGGGCCATGGAAGAGGATGTAGGAAGCGACGTCCTTGTCATGGAGCTTCACTTTCAAGCAGAAGAACGTTTGCTATCAGGTGTCTACGCGGAAAGGGGTTCTGTCAACCACCGGCCACAGCACGAACTTCGCGCTCGCCTCAGCACCTCAGAAGCGCCAACGTCGCGCGGCTGGCCTTCCGACTCTGGAGGGCTCAAGTTCTCAGCTTCTTGGAGCTGGCAGCTTTCTCCACAGGTTGCAAAGTGTGTCATAGGTTCTGAGTTTCCGAGCTTGCTGCTGGACCCTGCTCGACCGCACCTGGCGCTTCTAAGCTCATTATGTCTCAAATATCCAACTTGCAACCTTTCCGCCACCGGATGCATAAGCTCTCCAGGTCATGCCAATCAAGTTGCGCTCCTCGCACCCGGCGCCTTAGCTGCATGCAGCTTGGAGTTCTAGGAGTGTTTGAAAAGGGTATGTATATCTGTGCCAGTCGACTGTGATACAGGCCCATGCAGGCCCTGCTTTCGAACGGTTCGTTTCTCGAGCCGGGATCTTCCCGCAGCATGCGCCAGGAGTCCCACTGGGTGAAGCGAGGAGTGGCAATGCTGACACAGCTGGATGCGTGAGAGCAGCGGTGCAATGGCTGGATGCGCGCAACTCTTATCTTATTAAGGCAGATCGAAAGGCAAAAAAAGACACAAGGCTTCAAAGCTGCTCGGCAGCCGAAAGTGACAACATGCATCCACACAAGATCTGTGTTCTGGAGTGCATCACAACAGCTAGTGCCAAGCTGCGGGCGCGTGGAGAAAGGAAAGCCCGCCACGACAAGAAGACAGTGTTCAGATGTGTTCGGATTCTAGATACTGTTGGGCACGGGAGCAGCAGGTGAAACAATGGTTGGGCAATCTCTCTCCTTGTGAAGTGTTTGCTAACGTCCCCGCACTCGTTGCGTTGGTAAAGGTCGCCTTCGTTGATCGTTCACGAAACATGCAGCACTACATGCGAAGATGCAACCGCCAACTCGTTCTTGCAGCACAGCTAACTGCAGGTGAGCACTAAACGGATAGCCTTGGTGTTCCGGTCTACATTCAGAGTGAGGAGAACTAGTGACTAAGTGGTGCAGCTCAGCTATAAGTCTGTACGACCAGGCGCGGACCTGTATACATTATACTCTGCAAGGCTGCCACGAAGCGAGCAGCATGCATCAGAAAGGTAAGTTCGTCCTTCGTCCTATATGCCGGGCTCCACCAACGTCACGGTTTGCCAAAACCGACAAGTGAGAGTCGTTTCCTTTCCATTGCTACGCAGACATACCTGAAAAGTTCTGGGTTTTTCGTTATGCACGATGCACTCCGGCATTCTATCCAGGCCAGCAGTTGCTAAGACGGCGGAGCCAGGGGAAGGGAACGCAGCTCAGCCAGCTCATGGCCGATGAGGACGGTACATCCCCATGCGAAGCATGCGGGACTGGGAGCATCGTGCTGCTTGCGATGACAGTCTCCAATGTTGACTTTATCATGGCCTAGTAACTTGACTTTCCCCACGATCCGGCTGTCAACAGTTGCACTGCTGGGTCCTAGGGACTGGGAACGACCGGAATTTTCAGTGCCGCATCATGAGGGAACACTCGCAATGCGACACGAGGCAACATCAGCCCAGGCTCACAGCAACCCCGAGGCCCCAGACTCCTTCAGCCGCAGTCTGAAAGTCAGGGAAGGCATGAACGAGAAGCGAGGCCATGTCGCAAGCCACCTGCTCCGAGGAGGACCACTTGCGCAGAGTGGGTAAAACAGCAGTCAGCTGTGTGTCTGTGTTTCCTTCAACTGTTGTCAGAAGATGTCAGCGCCAGATCCCCTTGGCAGTTCTTTGGAAGAAACGGTCGTGATCAAAAGAGGCTCCTTGCAGAAGGACAGGAGTTGCAGCGTCTCCGCCTCTTTTGGCTCAGCTGCTGAGCTCGGAGGGGGGCTGGGACGGCGGTTTGGCGCATGGCGCCGAAGAAGAGGCACCGGGTTGCAAGTTGCTCGGGACCAAGTCAAGATCTCTAGTGGCTTTTCGGGCTTCGCAGTTCGGACTAAAAACCTTTGGGACGTGTGCCGAATGCAAGCCGGGCCGCCACGCCGAAGGTTTCCTGCGAAAGCTTTCGAGTTTCAACAGAGACCCAAGCAAGACTCAAGCAGGTTTCTGCCGAATCGCAGGAGCAATCCCAAATGGTTCGGTTTTGACAGGCCTGTAAAGGATGACCAAAGCTACTTGCGAGACAGGCACCCTTCTTCAGAACTTCGTGGCTCACAGGAGAGGTTCAACTACTGTAAAGCACCGACTTCTAAAGTCCATGCGCGCTGGAGGAAGTCTCAAGCGCAGAGCCAAGCCGACGCCCGCGCGGTACGGGCCGCACCTCGGTTCGTTTTCTTTGGGACTCAGACTAATCAGGACTCTAGACTTTGAGCGTCCGATTCGAGAAGTTTGGATCGAATTGGAAGATAGGGGTTGCTGAGATTGAAGGAAGGATCTCTGTGGTTTAGCTTGAACGTGTTGGGATCTCAGCAGCGTCTGGTCGGCGAACTCGAGGAAGGCATGGGTGCGCAGGGGTGGTGCCGTCTTTGCAAAACTTCTGGAGAGGCACAGAAGGCCGCAGAGGCATCGCCTACTCTGGAGGCCTTAAGGGCACACACAGTCTTTCGCCTTGTGTTTTGTGATCGAAGGCTTTTGAGGCTGGGATGCTCCGATGTGGATTCTTGGGCTTGAGGAGCGCTTGAGTTCCCACGGGTTGGGAGTCCACTGACACGGCTGGGTTCTATGCCAAAAGATCGGCTGTGCTCAGTCTAGAGATGACCATTGCCTCCTCAAGCTCCAGGGATTGAGATTACGCAGGTTTGCGCATGCGGTGGCATCTTCTGGATTCGCTTAGCCACTGCCATCGTCCGACATTTGGGCAGGATTTCGCTTTCCTCGAGAGAAGCGAATCCGTCGCGATCTGAGAACAAAGAGGTGTTAATTATGCCACAGGGTCAAGATGTGTCAAGGAACCTTCCCTGATCCCGTGATCAGTCATGTCTTGTCATGTTTATTCCCGCAACGTATGCCAATACCATATATTTCTCGTCTTGAGCGCCTTGTGCAAAGCAACTCTTGAGAACCCAGTCACAGCACGGCACGGCTCCAGAGACCCGTGGATCTGCATCCGATTCGCGTGCAAAGGACAGCGCCGTCCCGGCTGGTCTGTACAGGACTGCCTCAACGGACCCGTGCCGTGCAAGACGGCGCACTCCTGAGCGAAGAAAGCCGCGTCAGGGGTCCTAATCCGGAAGATGTACTTCAAGGAAACAATCATCTTGCCAAGGCTCCAGGGATGTCTGGGGAATTAGCATCAGACGGCAAAGTTGAGAGTGCACACGGTGAGCTCCAGCTTTCTAAGCATTTCTACAACCTCGGAAGTCAGTTCGAAAGAAGTGCTCTGTTCCTACATGTCGTTGGGGTCTTTTCTTCTCCTGAAGAACAAAACCTCGTCTAAACCAAACTGGAGCATGTACCGAGCAGGCGCCATTGCATCCTGAGAATGCACGGATATAGAATTGAAGATTCAGCTTCGCCCCATTTCGACATTGATATCAGCATCCTGATCGGATTGCTTCTGTCAGCGACGAGGCCTGTGCAAGCTGAGGGTGAAACGCAGCTGGTGCCGCCAGGCATGGCTTCCGGCTCTCCTGCATAAAACGTAAGTAGCGTTTCTGAATCGGCCTGCCCAGTCGCCACTGTCAATCTTGGATTTTTGACATGACCTTCTACGCTTTTTCTACCCCTCAGGTTGTGGACTGTGCTAGGGGTCTTAAATCCCACAGAGTGAGATTGCGGTGTTGGTGCGCGTTATGTCTTGTTTATTGGTTTATCGTCGAAGCCTATACCTGGTCCACCTAGACGCCCTGAGCCATTCTTCGGCCTGCAGGGAGCTTTCCGAACCCTTACCTGGCCATCGACTTCAATGCGGCTTGGCCCATGTCATAGTGCAATGCATTGTGAGAGCTGGAACGGATATACTACATACCTGCTTGTACTGGCTTCTACTAAGGTGTCGTCATAGCTTATATGCAGTGTGGTGCATGTTGCTTAAGTAGAAGGAGGGATGAGGTGAGGTTGCTTTAAACATCGAGCCCACAACACGGCCTCGAATGTGTGGTCCTCAAGACCCTGAAGCTCAGAGGACAAGCAGGGCATCTGGCAGGAGGAGACCGCCTTAAAGAAGGCGCTTGACGAGGCTCGCGGCCTGAGTTCCAGATTGGCTTTGATAAAGGCTCCGGGCCAGGGAAGCTCTTTCCACATTTATGTACAGCGATTGTAGCAGACATCTGCTTCGGTTTAAGTCAGGCGCGGTTCTCGAGTCTTTTTTAACCAGGCCCCATTCCTTGTCAAGTGGGCTTGACTACCATCCACAGAATTCTGCCAGGGCCTGAAAATCTCCCGAAAAAATCGTGACAACACGAACTGAAAGCACAGAAGAATGCGCTCAGCATCCAGGATCCTCCCACGTCTTGCCGTTTGAAGAGCGAGGGCAACTGGCTTCCGGCCGGTTTGAGGCTTGCCACTGCTGGGTGAATCCACGGTGGTGTAGAGCCTCTTTAGCTTGGCGCCTTCGGTTCGTTCCGCGTCGTGAAATCCGTCAACTGCCGTTTTCGATCCGTCAGGATACGGGACGCTCAAGTCGACCGTTGAGTGCAAAGCAGGAACGGCCCCAGGTTGTTCTCAAAGTGTAGGCTCCAAGCCTCCAAGCCCGAAGCCAAACCTTGCACAGGCGCTTTCCCCAAGTCTGAGGCGTGCGAGTGCCGTAATATGCACCACTATTCTGCCAACTGCTCTGCACAGGAATCTCGGTGCCACCTGTTATCTCAACAGCCTGCTTCAGTACCTGCTCCCTTGGCATGTGGGCTGTGGGAGTCGGATTGAAGGATTTGGAGGATCAGACTTGGGATGAACGCCCTCGAAGTGAGCGACACGACAGTGTTACTTCTTGGCTTCAGTTTGCAGCATGTCTGGCGAACACGCTGTCAACGTTAGTGGGCGAGCTTCGGCAAAACAGACATTCCGATGCCCGGTGCCACCGAACCTGGACGAAAATGGAAGCATCGCTGCTACGGAAGCCGAGGTTCTTCAATCTGGATTTCCGATACTGCTTGCTGAGGCGAGAGGGCACGGCAACACACCCATACAATTGCTTTGCGACACCACTCTTCACCCTTGTCAGCCTGAGCTCGGAAAGCATCAACAGCCAGTCTCAAAACCGAGTCACGATCCAACCCTGGAAGTTGTCGGCCGATCGCAGGACGACCTGCAAAAGCCAAGTAGTTGCTGCATTGCAGCGAGTGCCCTGTGCTGCAGCAGCAGTGCTGTTCAACTGACTGGTGCAGGGGGGTTGCGATTCTTTTCGTCGGTGCCACATTTCTCATTCTGCAATGTGGCCGCCTTCAGCCACGACGGTAAGCGATCAGCTTTGTCACCAGAAGCATCTGTCATCCACCTGAGGTGTTCGCCTTGCTGGCGGAAGGCGAGTCGCGAGTCGTGGACCCCAAGGAACCTGCATCCGTTCTTGGTTTCGGATTGGCGAGCTCACCGCAGCTACTGACTGTGTGCAAGCTGTTGTTCACTCTGCGCTGCACCTCAAGCTGTGAGTGCGGCTTTGATCCCAAAGCTCGGCTGCTGACAGATTAAACTGAAGCTCCGTCTTTGTGTGAGGCATTCATGCTAGGCTTTCTGGGTTCCATTTCGCTGGTCTGTTGTCTTGCCTGTAGTCATCCTGGCCACTGCTCGCCTGTGTCTACAGGTCTTTAACTTTAGCTGGGCTACGGCTCGTTGTCTTCATCTAGGGCTCCAGTGGCGGAAGGCGATCTGAGCTCCAGGGTTGGCTTCGGGAGTGAGGACTCAAGCTGGTATTTGGGGTTGGTGTTGTTTTTTCAGGCACTCAGTCCCGTAAGCAGATTTAGCCGACTTGGCATTCTGTCTATAGAGTCTGTGACAGGGAGGAAAACACCCGTCAACAAAAAAAAAGCCCAAGGCATGGCTCCAACCAAGTTCTCCCAAAACCAGAAAGTCTAGAGCCTTAGACTACCAGGGCCCGGCTCAAGACCCCATACCTCGCAGGATTTCGTCACGGCTGCACGTGTGGATGCCCTGGAGCAGGCAGAGGGCATTGCTTCTGAGACTGCTGTCCCAAGCGCAGAGTTCAACGAAGTGATGCCCTGCAAGATACCGGGCCGCGATCATGGAAAACAATGCTCGCGGAAGAGATTCATGGACACACTTAAGCATGGCAAGCAGGCGGACGCCACAGAATTTAGCGCGCTGCTGCTCGACTGGCTTCAACGAGAGCTCGCTGACGGTGGCTCGACAAGAATGGATGTTTCAGCACCGTCAGAGTCAGAGTGATGTAGAGCATTACAGAGAAGAAGCCATGACATGTTCTGAAGCATCAAGAGTGTTGAGAATGTAAGGTGGTGGACCGGAACAGTCAGATGTTGGACTTCTTGAGAATCTGCTGTGACTTCCAGCAGCTTCAAGCTTGCAAAGCTCATGCAAAGCAACCAGGCAGTGGTGGCGACTTCATCCCGACTCTCTTCGAGGGGGAAGCTTCCACGATCGTACAGTGCAGTCAGGACTGTGCTTAGGTTCCGGATTAGGCATTCATGCAGACATCTTTCGGAGTTACCAGAGTGTTTGGATTTGCTGGCCTTTAGAGCCGTGCAGCTTAGGTTCTGGTGTTTGTAGGGTCTACAGGGCTCGACAGATGCAATGTCTGTAATCCATCGAAAGCCTGTCTCCTTTCCTTGCATGTTACTACGAACACGTTTGTCCTTCCCTGCTCCCGTCTCAAGCTTCTTGACAGTGCACGGGATGCCAGGACCCCAGCCACACGTCCGAGAAGCGAGAGAGCTTCATGGAGCTTCGGGCTGGGCTCTCTCCGGTGGGGGCCTTGCAGCCTCCTCCAGTCCTCGGTCTCGGTCGGCTCGAATGCAGATCCCCGTCTCTAAGGTCGCCATGGCCCTGGAGGCGCGCGAGGCGCAGGAGGCTGTCACAAGCTCTAGTAATACGTACCGAGTGGATCAGGTGGATTTGGAAGCTGGGACTTGCGGTGGCCAAGGTGGAAGATCCTGGGATCTCTCATTCGAAGAATCAGAGAGACAGAACCGACGGCATCCGAGACTGAAGGATTACATTTGTTCCTTATTTCAAGCCGCTCCCTCAGCTTCATCCCCCATTGGCCCATCCCCATCGCGGAATCTCGGTTTCTCAGGCTAATTCCGAGTTCGGAAGCCCTCACCGAAGACCCCGAACCTCGAGCAGGCGGCGGCAAGCGGCCGCAAGTCGAACGCGAAGGCGAAGACCAAGAAGGCCTTGGCTGATTCGTTTCAAGCCTCCTGCCCAGACTGCCACTTGACTGTCGGCGCCCCACGTTGTGACGACTTGCTGCCTTTAGCTTTTCTGGTTTCTGTATTGCCCTGCTCTCGCGGAAACACAAACTTAGAAGGCTTAGCATCCAGAACGGCTTGGCAGCATATTGCAGCAAACAGCAGCTTCTGCATTCGGCCTCGAAGCGACAGCTTTGAGGAACTTCGATTAGGTGATCGCCAGCTTGCATTTCGATTCCCCGTACAGCTTGTGGAGCATTGCAACTTTCTGCCCTGAGCCAGCTTCACACGCTGCAAGAGTACATTGGATTGCGAAAAACAGTTCCCTTTCTTAGCTCCCATTGGATGTATGCTCAGAGGCTTCCACGGCTGACCAAACAGGACTTGCGAATGCACTGCAAGTCACCTTCCGCATTTAGCTCAAGCAATGGCATTGCAATGGTTCTTGATATCCAGAAGTTTCTTGCGCTTCTGCGAACTCAGTGGCACGCCGGCAGATGTGCTGCACCATGGCAAGTCAACAGCAAGACTATGATAATGTCTACGCTTGCTCTCTCGGAAACACTGCTTATATCAGAGCGGCCATACTCAGGCCCTGTATACACTTACACGTACCTGACCTCTGTGTCGGCAGCTTTCAACCGCGACTGCCGAGCCTCACTCCATATTCCTATGTGCCATGGACCTTTGTGTATAGTTTGAGTCAGTCTTTGGGCGACTGAATGCAAAAGGTTTCAGCAGTGTGACATGTTGCCGCAACGTGTAATGACATAGTGCTTGGCTCCTTCGAACTGAATGCCTTGCAGCAATCTAAAGCTGTCGAGACCACACCATGACATTTTTTTCTAGCTGTCAAGACCACAGCATGACATCTGGTCAGAAATCCTGTTCGATATTAGAGTAAGCCCCTGATCGACTGAATGGGTACGGTGTTGGTCATGCAGCGACAACAAGCTCGACAGCAGCACAACTTCAAATCGCTCTAGCAGGCTAGGTGCCCCAGCAACTAGCCCACCGCATCTCGAGCCGGTGAACGTGTGTGCACGACACACGTTGTTTCAAACAGTCTTCACTTTCCTGCACGATCGAATCCTCGACTTCGTCAGCTTCTTGTACAAAAGCAAACGGGAGAGAGGTGCATGCTGTTGGAATCAGCATTCAACGAAGACACCTCTTCAGCGTGGTGACACAGATCTGGGACGTCGCGGTGCCTGAAATGTCGACAAGAGCTCCTTTACCCCTCTGGGACCTGTAGCGAACTTCAAAAGGTAGAGGCTGATAGTTGCAAACATTCCGTAACATGAGGATACGGGTAAAACAACGTAGACCCAATAATCCCAACAACCAAAGTCCGTGTATGTACGCCGGCTTGCACTCCGAGGGTTTCTGGAATCTGTGCTTGGCCACCACGTCAACACGAACACGTTCAACATCGCACTCTGATGCGAAACAGATGTCTTGTATGTGGAATGGTCCGACCTAAGCTCATCTGCTGTCATGGCCCGAAGCTGCCGGCACGGCCACTCTTTGTGATGCTAGCCAGCGGTGCGAGTGGAAACTCAGAAACCACCTTTCATGGTTGACTCGTTTCGCGTGGCTTGAGCGAATGAGCCGGCTGCATGGTAAGCAGGTTCGACGGGGGCGACTTCAATGCCCCTCTAAAACGGAGGAATGAACATGTCAAGACATGAGCGTGCGACACTTTGACGCATTGGACTGCTTGCTCCCTCCATCCTTGAATCACCTGGCACATTCAATCGCTGCTTCAACTGGAGAACAACAAGCTCCATCTTGACAAAGACTCTGGACCAGTTTTATCTCAAAACATGGTCGGTCTAGTAAGGAAAGGTAAACGTCCCAACATACGGCCCGAAAACCATCAGGAGCCCTGTAGCACATGCAAGCTATCGGAGCCTTCTATGTGCTCCCCGTCCAGCCAGTTGAATGCATTACAGGGCAAGAACTGGTGCACGATATCCTCACGGTCCGAGGGCTCATCGTCGGGATGTCCTGTCAGCAGCAGCGAGGACAGCAGCACACAATGTGTCCATGGTAGCGGACTCACTGACTAAATGTGTCCATGGTAGAGGACTCACTGACTCACTCCGCAGCATTTGGCACCGCCTTATTTTTTCCATGACTCGGTTCGATCTGCATGCCGCTTCTTGCAGGAATAGGGGAACACTTGTCGGGGTCGCGTGTATCCCAAACCAAATAATCTCAAAGGAGGCTGCGTGTAAGCTGTTAGAACGCCATAGTTACTTCGACAGACAGCATACCCGTGGGCCCGACAAGCCTCCTGCTGCGTCTAGCCGCAGCGACTCTTTTTGCCGCCGCGAACTAAGGAATCCTTCCTAGACAGTGTGAAGGCCGTACGCCTCGTCGTCGCTTTGCTTTGCCGACAGGAGGCTGCAGGCTTCCTTTTCACACTGTCACGCACTGCAGCTCTTTGCCGCGCCCTTGCATCTTCCTTGGGGAGCTCAGCCTTCATTTTGGGACCCGAACCATCGACCAACTCTGCACACCAGATACTCCAGTCTTGCGAAGACCATATCGACTGGCGAGTTGCCCGAGCAAGCACCTCCCCATGCTGTACCTGCTTCGTTGTGTGATGGTACAAAGCTCTGTTATGTGACAAGAGCTTGCCCAGCTGCAAGATTTCAAGCTTTTGCTGCAAGCTCACTTGGTGCAGTTTCTGGGTCTCTTTGAAGCATCGGTTGATTTCGTAGTGAAGTGCTTCGTTTGATGTCGTTCCGCTGGGTAGCAATCGCAGCCGCTGAGCAGAGAGAGCATGGCGAATCCGTACATTATTCATGTACCACTCGGCTCTCTCTGGAGCGGTTGCAGAATGCAATAGCTCCCAGACGCGACGATTTGGTCCAGGAGAGACCTTGCGGACTTCGTCCTTATAGACGTTCGTGAGAGCCGCTATAGCCCGAATCCACTCCACACGAGTATAAAATGGCTCATCAAGCTTGATTTCGTCCAGAATTCGCTGGGCCACACCTTCCTTCATGGTTCTATCCTCCAGCTGTCGTCTGAGGCGTTCCTCTTCAGCATTCAGCGGCTGACAGAACCCACCGTCATAGCATCTCCCTAATGATCTGGCGCTGCACTTGGTGTCGACTGCCGCAAACTTGCTGAGTAGTCTGCGGAGAGCTGCGGACCCCTTACTTCGCTTGCGTGAAGTAGAGTATTCCCAGGCCATAGCCAAGTGCACCGTGTCGAGTGACATGCCCTGCAAGTTTGGGCAAATTCTCTTCAGCTCAGAATAGAGCTTGCGCGAAGGGTTGTCCGCTGCAACGAAAGCAACTTGCTGCAGCGCAGATGCTGGAAACTCTTCGGCTAGCAGCCGACATGCTGTTTCGGCATCCTCCGATCTGGCGGCCCTCATCAACAGCACTGCACTTGTTCGACCGCGAACAGTGAAAACCTCAGCAGACGACTACGACAATGCCGCTATACCCTGTCATAACGTGCAAAACTCTAAGATAACCACACAGACAGCCAGTTCATCTGAGCGACCCTACGCAGCGACAAGTTCTCTGTGAAGGCAGCCTCTGCACGCTCCTCCGCAGAGCTTTTGATGCGTGCCTGCCCCATGATGGGAAGGCAGCAGCGCATTGTCGCGTCAATGCTGATGCATTGGAACTCCTCACTCGCAATGCATTCTTGAAGCAGATTTTGCCGCAAGTCTCTGATCTGTGGCGAATTGAAAACGTCTTCGATCATGGGCCACCAATCCTTGGCATGACTAGGAAGAAGGCTCGATAAGTCGTTCGCAACGGAGACGTGGAAGGCATTCGCAAGACCGTAAACCTCCGAGACACATATCACGTTTGCAATGCACAGGAACCCTACCTCTCCTAGCCGAGTGCTAGTCTTGGCTACCTGAACTGCTGAACCCTCGCCCCGCATCTGCCTTGGCATTGTTCACTAGCATGTACCGATAAATCGCTTCGGCAAAAGACCTGTCGTAGTACAGATTTCTGACCCGGCGTATCGGCGAATCCACGGTTGTTTTTAAATTCCAATACTCTGGACCATTGCCAGTGTAAACCAGCCGGATGTAGCGGTCGATATCGTTGTTGTTAATTGAAAGAGAGGGAACTATGGTACTGCGTAGAACTTCTGCGCTTCGACGCAAATACGCACATGTAGTCGTCGTGCCCTGCAACATGTCTTGATCATGAAGAGCGATGACTATCTTCAGCTGCTTCGTACCACTAGCACAATACTGCTTCCTGGCAGAATGATACTCGCGAACATGTTTCTTGACCCTGCAACGGTTGTGCCACGACCAGCTGCGAAAAGGACACAAGGGACACCGAACACGGCCATCTGCACCTTGCCGAAGTTGTGTTTGTTGCTTTAAAAGGCTTTCTACTTCTTTCTTCAGATTCTGCAGAAGTATATCACCCACCGTCGTAACACTCTCATCTTCCTCCTGTTCCTGACTTTCAGCATCATCCTGGCCAACTGGCTCATCATGCTGGCGCTCATCCTCAGCATCTTCAGGGAACATGTCCAGCTCCACAATGAAATCCTCACCAGCGGCGGCTTGAAGGTCCAAGAATCTCTCACGCTCTGTTTCATTGAGTGTGAATTTGGGATGCTCATCCTTCGGCGGCAGCGAGGCTGTTACTTTGAAAAGCATGATGTGTCGCTTGTCGCACGCGCTTGACACAGCCTTTAGAAAAGATGCCCTGTCCAGAATGAATTCGGCATTGCCATCTGCCACGACCCACTCTGTGTTAGATCCGGCATCTAGTGCGATGGCATGAGGACGACCTTGTTTTGAGCAGTGCACAACATACTTGCCTTCGATCTCTGCAGAGCTCGTGTCCAGTGGCAGGATGACAGGAGTCATGTGAACTCCAGTGCCTTTCTGTACCTGAGCATAAGTACGGTGTTTTCGTCGACTGAAGTAAAGAGTCTCTTCACTTTCCTTGTCCTCGAGAAAAGCATTGACCTCCGCTACGAAGCCAAGATTATGCAGTGCGGCTGGTATGCAGTTGCCATCTTGCTGAAGTGGAGCGGGCAGGAGGCCTCGCAACGTTCGGCTTCTGCTTGACAAACGCAAGTCTTGCAAGAGATCAGGGTTGCTCTTGGGTCTGATCTCAACTTTGTACCCAGTTATCTCTTGAATATGGGCAGTGCAGACTCTGCAGAAGCCTTCTACATCCTCCCCCACGACAGCTCTTGACACCCTGATACCATCAAAGTGAAGGCTGATGTGCTTCGGCTTTTGCCGGAGAACAAAATTTGTCCAAGCATCCAGAACAATATCTTCCACTGCGCTCCACAAATAGAACAAGCACGACGCATCAGGATGTTCTCTTGATTGATCTTGCATGCATCTTTCATACACCTCCGGCAACAAGGTCACGGCTGTCCATCGACAGAACAGCGAAGCCTT